TATCTCGAAAGACGAGGGGAAGGGAAGGGACGGGGTAGGCAGCGAAAAAAAAAAAAGAAAACAGACCGAAGATGGAGAGGTGCCAAGGATGGCGAGTTCATTAGCATTCTCTGCTAATTAATTAGAGAGCACCTCGTCTCGTACCTCCGGGCCGCGGGGCCGCGGGGCCAGCGGCAAGGAATGTGCCGAGGAAGCTCGGCGGGAGTCATTTCGGCCACCATTGCTTTCTTCGTGCCGAAAAAGCGACCCGCGTTCCCCCTGCTGGCCGTGCCGGGCCGCGCCGGCCCGCTGTGGCTGGTGTTGCCGCAAGGAGGAGCAGGCGCCCCCGCCCCCGCACGGTGGGCCAGAAGACCGGTGGAGGCGGCCAAAACTCTAGACGCGTTTTGAGCTCCAGAGTCGCTAAATGGGACTTGAACCGCGCGTGTGACCCCCACCAATGGATTCCTCGTTCGGAGGGCAATCCATTGGTGGGGTCACACGCTCGATTCGAGTCCCATTTAGCGACTCTGGAGCTCAAAACGTGTCTAGAGTTTTGGCCGCCTCCAGCGGTCTTCTGGCCCACTGTGCCCCGCCTCCTTCTCGGTTATGAAACATTCTTGAGCAGCGCGGCCGTGTCTCGCTCCGTTAAAATCGACCCTCAAGTCAAGCCGCCGAGGAGAAAACTCGCCAAGCGTACTCATCCCTGGAGAGGGGTCCGCGAAGGCGGGGCGCGGCGTGGGGCGCGGCGCAGCCCGGCGCAGCCACCCAGTGGCCGAAGCGGAGCCCCTCGCGACGGCCGAGGTAAACTACGCGACTACGCAGCCAAGCTGCCATGCTTCGCTGCTTTGCCGCAAAGGGTGGCGCTTTCGTGTCGTTTTCTCGGCCCCACCGTGGCCGCCGTACAGTGGGCCAACCGGTGGAGGCGGCCAAAACTCCAGACGCGTTTTGAGTTCCAGAGTCGCGAAACAGGACTCGAACCGAACGTGTGACCCCACCAATGAATTGCTCTCCGAACGAGGAATCCATTGGTGGGGTCGCACATTCGGTTCGAGTCCTGTATGGCGAAGCTGGAGCTGAAAACGCGTCTGGAGTTTTGGCCGCCTCCACCGGTCTTCTGGCCCACCGCGCGTCGATTCCTCGTTCCCGCCTCCTGGCCGCTTTTACTCGACTAATTTTTCGGGGAGTGCGGGATAACGGGGTTCCGATGATGCCCGAGCGGCGGGATGACGACGGCATGCCCCGGCCGCCTCGGCGACGACAATAAACGGCGCGTGCCGGAGTGCCGCTTCGCCGCGCCGCTCCACTGCGAGCCTGCCGCCCACGCCACGGCCACGCCACGGCCACGCCACGGCCACGCCACGGCCACGCCACGGCCACGCCACGGCCACGCCACGGCCACGCCACGGCCACGCCACGGCCGGGGCATTCCGCGCGCACCTCGAGCGCCGCCATACCGTCATAGCAGCGCGCGGCAGCGGCAGCGATGTTTTAACGATTCGTTCATTAATAATTCGGAAAGCACCGCCCCGCCCCGCCCCGCCCCGCCCCGCCCCGCCCCGCCCCACCCCGCCCCGGGACCGCCAGACGCGCGCTGTGTGCGACACGTCGTGTCGTGGTCCTCTCCTCCCCCTCCCCCCCCCCCCCCAAAATCCAGGCGGATGCCGCAGCATCCGCGGCGGCACACTGATTTTGAGAGTCGTTTTTGTCGCTCCGTCTCTCTCGCGTCTACACGGTACGCCTCATAAGCGCGAGAGAGACGGAGCGACTCTCGGAATCAGTGTGCAGTGCATGCAGCCAGTGGCGCGGCCTCTACGTACTCTCCGACGCTGCACACATTCAATTCATAGGCACTCTTTCCGTACAGCCTCGCACGATTTTTGTGAACTTGTGCATTCCGCGAGGGAACAAGTTTGTGCGAAAAGTTCCGGGTGCGTCAAGTTTGTATCGGACCTCGTACAAAAATGCACACACCGATGCAGGGCGGTGCTTCCGCCGCGTTCGCGCTACCTTTCTCGCACTCAAGGAGCGTTCCATATGGTTGCGAAGACAGAGCGGCCGAAGCACTCTGTTCATCGGCCGATGCCGACGCAATCAACAGCGACGCGAGCAGCAAGGGGGGCACAGTGTGCCAGAGGACCGGTGAAGGCGGTCAAAGACCCGGACGCGTTTTGAGCTCCAGAGTCTCTAAATGGGACTCGAACCGAACGTGTGACCCCACCAATGGACTGCTCTCCGAACGAGGAATCCATAGGTGGGGTCACACGTTTGATTCGGGTCCTGTTTAGCGACTCTGGAGCTCAAAATGCGTCTAGAGTTTTGGCCGCATCTACCGGTCTTCTGGCGCTCTGTGCGTCGCCTCCTCTCTCTCCTTCCCCGGACCCGCATCTCCGCCACCATAGCGGCCATAGCGGCGCTGTGAAGAGGCTGAGGGGGTTCGGGATGGGGAAAAACAACTCCTTTAGCCTCAAAAAGACGCCTGTTGCGAAGCCAATTTGCAGTCCTTCCCGCCAGTAATTGTAGGCAGAGAGAGGAAAAAGCGCGCCCAAGCCCCCCTGATCGCCCCGGTAAGTCTGGATGCAGCTCCACGATTTCGAAGCACCTTCGTCGCTCGGTCTCCCTCGCGCTCGCGGGGCGTTCCGTATTGGCGCGAGAGAGACAAAGCGACGGCAGCGACGCTCGGAGTCAGTCCACAGGACCAGCAAGGACCGCCAAGGACTCTCGATGGCCAAACGCGGCCCGGCGAGGGGAGTCAGCCTCGCTACGGCCGCCTGGGAGGCAGGGCGGCCGGAGGGCCGGAGGCCATACCGGACAAAAGGAGGCTCGGATGAAAGGGTTGGTTCCTGAGTTGAGTTTTTTGTTAATCACGATCCCAGAGCAGCCCTTGGAGCAGCCGTGCTGGCCGTGCTGGCCCTGCTGGACGCTGGGCAGCGAAAAGGCGGGAAGCGCGGGAGATATTGCGAAAGCTGATTGGCCGTGCTGCAGTGGCCGAGCCTCGCCGAGGCCGGCAGCGCCAATCCGATGCCGGAAAATGTGACGTCTGTCAAAGAGGAATCCGCCTTCCCCCTTAAAAAGGCATTATCAGCTCGCCGGGATTAGAAGACAGTAACGAAGCAGACGGTCCAAAAAGAATCTGACAGTGAAACTGTTCGATCATTCGGCAATGGCTTGCACTCTCACTCGGCTTGCAATGAGATTTATTTGAAAGACAAGACTCTGAAATAGAATCTAACCTCGTGCAATTCAGTGACGTATCATTTCAGAAAATCAAGGCAGAAGTCACACTCCACTGGCAAGAAAACAATGCGAAACACACCAACCGAATGATTTTTCTCCGCAGCCGGGCGTTAACATGGCCAAATGACTGTCATAGCATGAAAGAGCTTGAGAGCCTTTGAGAGCTCCTTGGACGACGAACTTCCAGCAGAGCCGCTCCAAGTCCCCCCACCCCACCCGAGCCCTCTCGTTTATTTTTGTTGAGGGCGGTGCACGTGGCCACTCACCTGGAAGGCGGTCCCTCGTGGGGCTCCGTGGGGTGCTGCAGGGCCTGGCCGACGAAGGGAAGGCGAGCGGACGAAGCGCGGCGCGACCAAGTACGAAGCACGAAGGCGGCCACTCAACAGGTCAGCCTGGGACGGTTTCTGCCGGTGGTGACGCGCGCTGTTCTCGGCTCCTTTTCTTGGGAGCACTGGGAGCGCTTGGGAGCACTAGGCGCGCTTCAGGAGCGCTTGGGAGCACTAGGAGTGCTTGGGAGCGCCTGGCTGCGGCCGGCGGCACGGAGCGGAACGCCGGAGCGTGGCCGCTGGGCGTGTGCACTGGCCGAGGGACGCAGAGCGAATGCGGAGCGAATGCGGAGCGAATGCGGAGCGGGGCTGCTGCCCTCCGCTGCTCCGCTGCTCCGCTGCCTCGCCGCTGCGGGTGGCGGCGTGGCGGGCGTAGCGGGCGAAGCGGGTGGGTTGGGTCCGGGCGTCCGACGTGGGGTTGCCGCGACTCCAGCACAGCGACTGAGCGAGACGCCAGCCCGTCAGGCCGCCCTGCCGCCCTGCCTGCCAGCGAGACCGAGAACCGAGAACGGTCGGAGTGGGCGCGCAGCGCGCAGGGAACGCGCTGGGGGCGGGCACGGGGGCGGGCCCGGGGGCGGGTCCGGGGGCGACCCCCACCGTCGCCTCGCCAGTTGTACCGTCTGCTCAGCCCGCCCGCGCCGCGCCGGGCCACGCCGCCGCCCGTGTGTGCCACACTGTGTGCCCGGCTGCGTGCACAGTGACCACAGGCCACGCCGCAGCCAGGCAGACAGCCAGGAAGGCAGCCCGGGAGGCCGGCACGGCACAGCCGGGCACAGCGTGTACTTGATATTCGCATTAACCCCTGCGCCCCACCACCCCCTCCCCCCGCACTGGCGGCGGGGTCGCACCCAGCGCTCCCAGGGTGGCAATCGGAGGGAGGGCAGCCGCGGCAGCCCTTTGCCTGTGGCTGCTTGCCTGCGGCTGCCTGTGGCTGGATGCAACAGTTGAGTTTCCTTGCACGGCCCTCCTCGGCCCCGCTCGTCCCGGCCGTGGTAGGGTGGGGCCCGGCCCGGCCAGGCCCGGCCAGGCAGGGACGGCGCGTTGCGTTTTTCGCGTCCCAGGCGAACGCGGCCCACGCGGCGCCCCTCGGCAGTAAACGAGGATTCACTGTCCGCCACACTGCCAGCGCGGCCAGCCCCGCCGGGCCAGCCCCAGGTGCACGCACAGCCACTCGTTTCGCGTTCCGTGCGACGGGCGTCAGTAAATCACGGTAAACTTTCCATGTTTTTTAAGGCTCAAGAGAAGCCCGCTTTATTCAATTTCTTCATGGAACAATGTTACAGTCTTTCAAAATATCGTCACTCAGAAAACGAACAATGAAAAGTGATTCTGAACGATTGACTACGCAAGCTCTTAGGGACAAAACAGCAAAAGAAAACACTCATCAGATATTTCACATGTGAACGACCCATGTCCGTGATTCAAGAGTACCCCTAAACAGGGGGAAAAAAATTAAAGAAATAACGATTCAAGCCATTTATTTCGCGTACTTATGGTATCTACCAAACTAAGTATCATAAACACCCACATCTATTACCATTTTATTTTGTTTTTCAGCATCACATTTTCTCGGACAATTATATCACATATTGAACACATGGAAGATGACACCCACCAAAAATTAGACAAACAAGAAATGTGTACAAAGTGCATGACAGGTTTTTTTTCTCTTCTGTATCAACATGTGATTTGCCTCCCACAAAACACAGGTTTAAAACAATTGATTTTTTAAAAAGTTGATGTAATGGAAAAAGGTGCATTTGGTGGGATTAATTACTTGTATAACAAAAAGGGTCAACACAAACAAGTAGAAACAGAAGCAAAACTTGCAAAAATTTACCAAACTACGGTAATCAAGAAGTTGTCACTACTATCATAATCACAAACTTTACAAAAGTCTGTTTGACAAAGCATATTATTCAAATTAGTTTCATTCGAAAGTTCTCAAGTTCACACATCCAAAATTTTTGTTTGGACTAACAAAGAATCAGAACCAATTGTGAGCTGGTAAAACCCCACCTCCCTAAGGTGAATTGTAACAGTACTTAGGTTATTCAATTCCTTCAAGCCAGCCACTGAGCTCCAAATCTGGGAAAGAGCCAGTAATGTAAAAACAAAGGCGATTGAAATGTCACATGAATAGATTTTTTGTAGCATCTGCATTGAATTGCAAGACAACAGTTTCACTATATACAAATATCCACAACAACCAGCAACAACCAGTCAAAATGGTACCATAAAAATACACTTTTATTTGGAATAAAATAAATGCACATCATTGTGCATGAAGGCAGTCACTTATTACCTCGACGTCCTCTTTCATTTGATGAAAATCATGGGTATGAAACGGTGCAGTTGCTTAAAATAATGAAAAATTTCTATAAAATGCATTTGAACATGTTCTCAAGAATAAAGGGATATTGCTTATCATGACTAGAAAGGAATTAACATATTCTCTACAACATTTTATTTTCACTCCTTTTTTTAGTGCAGAAAGGTAGATATGCTGATCGCAGGTCAGGTTTAGAGAATATAATACCTTCATGATTTAGATGGAAGAAGCAACCAAGTATTGGAATTTTTCATCACAGAAAAGTGAACAAATTTGTGGGAGGACGCGGGTCACAGGGACAGTCTAAAATAGTATCCAGTGACCCAAAGGACCAAACAGTAAGCAAAATTCCAACAATGTAGCAATGAACTTAGGTTTCCTATTTTCTATTGGAAGATCAGTAACCAACTCACACATTCCTCTCAAGCCGAGATAAGACGACATGCTACACCCTCAGCAGAAACTTCACTTCAATTTAAAAGAAGTAAATGATGACGAATCAATAATCATAATTATATAAAACAAAAGTCAATTTAACAATAAATATTGATTTAGTAAATGTTGGAAATGCCAAGATGCAAGAGGCAGAGGCATTTGTATGAAAAGGAATGGATATTTGTCAATAGACAAGCATCCTTAAGATCACAAACCCCAACGCACTTATTAACATGCAGGGATTGACATGGAACATACAGTCGAAAGAAAAAATATGGGATTATCTAAATTGACACAAAAATGTTACATCCACTTTGAGATTGAAATTGCTGTTAGTGGGGGCTAAACAAGTCACCTGCAGATGGTAATGGTGCTAGTCCTCCTGTAACATCAGGAAGTTGGGTCAAGTCAGGAAGTTTCTGAAGGTGGTTGCGTAATTCCATCCTCAGTTCATACACTTTTTTCAATTTTTCATTTGACTCCTGCAACATCACAATAGTAAAATTAAAAACTGGTATCTTTTCATGCAAGACACGCAAGAGAAAAAAAAGAAACAAACGTACTGCCAGTCTGCCTTCAGCTTGTTCCTTCAGATCCATCTGAGCCTGCAAGAAATCTCGAAGCATACCAGCAACATGCTTTCTCTGTTCCATTTCTTTAGATAATCGAGCATTATAGTTTGTTAGGAGAGCAACAGCATCATTCACTTGCATTGCCAATTTTTCTGCAGCTGCTTTATCTGAGAACATAGAAGAGTTCGCCCGTGAGGAATTAATTTAACATTCTGACTCTTTTTCAACGGGAATAAGAAGTGCCGCCTTGACTTGCCTTGCAGCCTATCAAGAAGAGAAGTTTGGGAAACTTCGGTAGGCAACTTGGCAATTCTCTCTCTTACTTCAACATCAGCTGATGCTTCATTTTCTAAATCCTACATAATAGAAAAAAGAGAATAGTTTAAGACTTTGATCATAATGGTCATAGAATACTAGCTAAAAAATAGGATTAATGCATCACTTGCCCTCAAAGCTTTAATTAATTCTTCTGGCTCTGGTGGATCCCCTGCTGGTGTCCTTGGTGATAAAGTAATATGCACTTCTTTAGTGCCCTCCACCTCAATTTCAGTTTCCGAATGTCTCCGTTTCTTTTCATTTAGTGGACTACCCAAGCTATTGGCCATGCTAGCAATTCGAGCATCCACAGAGGTAGGAGCAGGCTTGACTGCTTCGAGCTTGTGCTTCTTTTTGGGTGGGGTGCCATCATTTTCACCAGCTAGAAAGAAAGAATAGAGTGAAAATAAAAAATGTCCTACAAATAATAAATTAAGGTGTTCATGCTGTTTTAAAAATAAACGGAAGAAATGTATCCTTACTGAGGCCTTTCTTAAACTCGTCTATTTGTGGTTTATCATAGACACCTCGTTCTTCCCAAATATTTAATATACGTCCAAGAGACTTGCTTGTCTTTTCATCACCAGCCGAAGCAACAGCTTCAAAGCTCTTCCTTAAAACATTGCCGAACTCTTTACCGAATTCAGGACCTTTCTTCTTGCTGTTTTGGATCACATCATTTGCCAAGTACATAAAGGTCAACTTCTTTCCACCTTTTGCTGCAAAAAAGTGGCAACAATACAGTACCTTATTTGAAAAAAATAAAGACACAAATAAAAATAAGCGTTTTTTAATGTAATAGTGGGTTAAAAATGTGGTTGACTTTCAGAAGTGACACTGAGCACTTGGTGACAGGGATAAACAGTATTTAAAAACATTTAAGGACTGCCTTCGCAAAATTTTAAAAACATCAAGAAAATAAAATGTTGATGCGATTTGTGATTCAAAGATTGTTGAAAAAAATTAGCATGGGGGCAAACTATAATAATAGTGCGCGAAAGATGGTTTAAAAAGGAACTTAAGTGAAAGTAAACAGTGCATTAACCTGCAAACTGTAAGCACAACCCAACACAACAGAAAAAGTACGGCCTAGTGGCACCGCGGAGAAAAGTGCCGTGACTGCACGATAGTGCAAAAGTTATAAACAAAACAAGCAACCCATCACCGTGAGAATTTGACAAACACGACACATTATTTGCATGGGTGAGGTGCACTAACCTTTCAACAGCTCTTTGAACCAGGTTCTGACAATGCTTTGGCTGTGTTTTCGATGGTGAATCAGCCATAACGAAAGTGTCTGTATGCTTTGAGCTGAACTATTAAGGTCGAGCAGTTTTTTCACGAGTCCAGACTCCGTAAAACCTGCCATAGTCGTTAAACGACCGGCGGCGACGGCATACAGACGGCAGCGCACACACGCACACAACTCACACACACAGCACACACAGCTGCAACTGACGACCACAGACCGCAGAGACGCGGGGTGGGAGGGGGGTGGCACAGGCAAGGTATGAGAACAAAAGGTGGAATGTGACACTCAATTTATTTTGGGCCTGGTCGCGATGAACTTTGCACAGATGGAGCGAGCTGATTTTGGCGCGGTCGGCAGTCTCGATTACTTTTCGAACAATACAGCTCCTCCGTGGTGTCCCTGGAGGGGAAAACGAGGGGCGTGTGAGAACGTGTGTATGAGAAATTGAGTCGCGGCAGGCGGAGCTGTGCGGGCGGCCGGTTCAAACGGCGGCGCTCGGCGAGCACGGAGAGCTTACCCTTGTGATGTGTGCCTGTGCGCCGGAATGCTGACGCCGAGGCGAGGAGTGTCAGATTCGTGAGGTGGAGGAGAATCGGCAGATCATCCGAGAACGGCGGCGGGGGCGGCGGGGGCGTTCACGGCGGCTGACGGCCTGGCTCGGCGCTCTCTGCAACAAGAGGCGCATCTTAGGTGTCTGCCAGCTTGCTTTTCGCTCTTCGCCACATTTCTCGCCGGCTTTGCGGTGCACACCGCGCGCGGGGCGGGGGCGGGGAAGTTAACCACTGGAATCGTGTGTACACGCAGCCCGGGCATCGTGGAACTTTGTCAAGAAATTTCGAAAACTACAAGTCAAGTCAAGCCCGCGAAAATTGTCGGAAAGCGCGGCATGCCTTCGCGTCGCCCCTCCGGGCCGCCGAGTCTAGCCGAGTCCCGCGCACCTGACTTGAACGTCTTCCACACCGCCCGCAGCCTCTGGTAGCGGCTCTCGTACTCCTCCTCGTCCACCTGGGTCTGCTCCCCCTCCAGCCAGTCCAGGGCCTCCCGGAAAGCGCGCTCTGCCGCCGCCCTCTCCTCCGCCGACAGTCGCCCAGCTCCAGCCAGGACCTCGGCCGGGGCCTCCGGGGGCTCCTCGGGCGTGTCCACGGCCCCCGCCCCGGCCGCGGCCCCGGCCTTCACCAGCGCCAGAGACAGCGCCTCCGCGCGCCCGAGGGGCCCATGGGGTGGCCCATGGGGTGGCCCATGGGGCGGCCCCTCCAGCAGGGCCTGCTTCACGCAGTACGCCAGGTTCTCGAGCTTCCGACGGCACTCCAGGCGGCGGCGCTGGCGCTCGTCCTGCGCCCGGTACAGCTCCGCCTCCCGCAGCATGGCCTGCACCTCCTGGCGCGACAGGCGGTGCTGGTCGCTGCCGATGGTGATGCGCTGCGACACTCCGGTCTTGCGCTCGCGGCTCGCCACGGTGAGGATGCCGTCCGCGTCGATGGAGAACGTGGTGTCGAACTTGACGGCGCCCCGCGGCCCGGCGGGGATGTTGTCGATGACGTACGACCCCAGCAGGTTGTTGTCGCGCACCAGCGGCCGCTCGCCCTCGTACACCTCGAACAGCACGCTGGACTGCGCGGCGTGGCGCACAGTGGGCCAGACGACCCGCGGAGGTGGTAAAAATCCCGGACGCGTTTTGAGCTCCAGAGTCGATAAAACAGGACTCGAACCGAACGTGTGACCCCACCAATGGACTGCTCTCCGAACGAGGAATCCATTGGTGGGGTCACGCGATCGGTTCGAGTCCTGATTAGCGACTCTGGAGCTCAAAACGCGTCTAGAGTTTTTGCCGCTGGCGCCGGCGTTCTGGCCCACTGCGCGACGCCTTTGGCTGCCTGCGGCGTACCTGGTTGTCGACGCAGGTCTTGGTGCCGCCCTGGCGCTGGCAGGGGATCCTGGAGTTGCGCTCCACGATGCGCTTCATGCCGCCGTCCTCCAGCCCGATGCCCAGCGACAGCGGGATCACGTCGCGCAGCACCAGGTTGCGGATCACCCACGACTCGTCCTTCACCAGGATCGCCGCCTGCGGGCCGGCACACTGTCACGCTCTGTCTCTCTCACCCCATCACGGAGAGCCCCGTGGATGCGACAGAGACAGAGCGACGAAACGACTCTTTCGAGCCGCTCGCGGCTCCAGGCATTGTACACAGAGATTCTCATGCAGTCAGTGGAAAGGAACAAACTCCGACCGCGTCTCGCCTTGGTGGCGCTAAGACGAGTGCGCTAAGTATTCCCGTTCTTCCGCGTGTCCCGTCGTCCCGTCGTCCCGTCGGCCCGGCGCAAGTCTGTCCAACTCCCACGCAGCTTCGCGACGAATCGCAGAAACAGGAATCAGAGCTACCCGTGCGTAAAGGTTCAGCCGGTCGCCGCAAGGCGCAAACAACATGCTGACCTGGACGGCGGCGCCCTGCGCCACGGCCTCGTCCGGGTTGATGCTGAGGTTGAGCTGCTTGCCGTCGAAGAACTGCTGCAGGATGTGCTGCACTTTTGGGATCCGGGTGGACCCGCCCACAAGCACAACGTCGTGCACCTCCTGCAGCGCGAGTTCAGGTTTTTTCATCACGTCGCGGGGTCTCGTTGCAATGAGCCTCGCGCAGTGCGTCGCGCAATACCTCTTTGGTGAGCTTGGCGTCCTCCAGGGCTCTCTTGACGGGCTCCAGCGTGTCCAGGAACAGCGCGGAGCACAGGTCTTCGAAGCGCGCGCGCGACACCCGCGTGTGAAAGTCGATGCCGTCCAGCAGTACGTCCACCTCGATGTTGACCTGCAAGGTGATGCCGGCGATGCCGCGGGTCGGGTCGCTCTAGAGAGACTCGAGTCTCACAAGGTCGCTCTGTCTCTCTCGCACCCCGTGGCATGGCCAAGGAGTGGAGGTGCGAGAGAGACAGAGTGACGGAACGCTGTTAGGAATGAACCTGGAGCCGAGCAAGCGCGAGCAAGATTCCAACTCAGTGCCCGGTCCCGAGGCACGACTGATTCCGAGAGTCGTTTTCGTCGCTCTGTCTCTCTCGCACTCGTGGGGCGTCCCTTACAGGTGTGAGAGAGACCGAGCCACGAAAACGACCCTCGGAATCAGTCTGTGAGCAAAAAGATGACGCATAGTGCAAGCGTCCCACCTCCGTGCTGAAGCTGAGGTTGTGCTTGGCCTTCTCCGCCACTGCCCGCAGCCGCCCCATGGCCCTCGGGTTGCCCCTGACGTCGCGGTGGTGCTTGCGCAGGAACACGTCGGCCAGGTGCTGCACGAGCAGGTTGTCGAAGTCCCGGCCGCCGAGGTGCGTGTTGCCCGCCGTGGACTGCACCTCGAAGTGCAGGCCCTCCCTGTCGGGTCACCAAGGTCACCAAGGCTCGCCGGCCCTCCAACTTCGGCCGAACCAACTATACTTGAGCGGGGTTCCCAGTTCCGCTAGGAAAACACGCCTGAGGGACATTCCGTTCCACGCGCATGCCATGCCGCCCACCTGACGGTGAGCAGGGACACGTCGAGGGTGCCGCCGCCCAGGTCGTAGATGAGGACGTTCCTGGTGGTGCGCGTGTCCATGAGCTGGCCGTAGGCGAGGGCCGCGGCCGTGGGCTCGTTGAGCACCCGCAGCACGCTCAGCCCCGCCACCGTGCCCGCGTCCTTGGTCGCCTGCCGCTGGGCGTCGTTGAAGTACGCGGGCACCGTCACCACCTGCACCATTCGACATTGCGCGGAGGGTTCCGTTGAGGATGCCCTGAAGGGTTCCCTGGAGGCTTTCCTGGAGGAGGCCCTTGAGAGTTCCCCGGAGGGTGCCTTGCAGGCACGGATGCAGGTTCGGGAGGGGGGCGGGATGGGTTTTTGCCCAGATAGCCGCCTAAAGGTAGGCAAAAAGCCATACTTTACCCCTGTATGTAAGCAAAACGTTATAATTTGCCCCCCTCTTCCAAAGGCCGCCTCTGGATCCGCCACTGGTGCTTTGGAAAGGGTTCCTTGAGGGTTCCCTCCCTCCCAGGCCACCAGGCCACCAGGCGCACCATGCTTACCGCGTCCGTGACCTTGGCGCCGAGGAAGGTCTGCGCGATGTCCTTCATGTGGGACAGCACCATGGCGCTGACCTCCACGGGGGACAGCTTCCTGGTGCGGCCCATGTCCTGCACCTCGATGGCCGGCGCGCCGTTTTGGTTCACCACCTGCCGTGCCGCGCCGTGCCGCGCCGTGCGGGCCAACAGGAGGGCGTGAGTGTAGTTGGCGTGTGGCTGAGGCGGCACGGGCCGCTGCGGTAACGTGCACAGCAGTGTCGGCTGGCGCGCTGTCCGCCGTGCCGGTAGGCAACCCAATGGCCGCGGACGCCGCGGACGCGCGCCGTGGCCCATTACCATTAAGGGCTAGACCACACATGATCGTAGCGCGGGCGCCAGCACACACACATACACAAACGCACACGCCCACAAACACACGTACACACTAGTTGAACCTCGGCGCACCTTGAAGGGCCACTTTTGGATGTCCTCCTGCACCTTGGCGTCGTTGAAGCGGCGGCCGATGAGGCGCTTTGCGTCGAACACGGTGTTGGTGGGGTTGGCGGCGGCCTGGCTCTTGGCGGGGTCGCCCACCAGGCGCTCCTGGCCCGTGAAGGCAACGTAGCTCGGGGTGGTCCTGTACCCCATCCCGTTGGCGATGATCTCCACCTTCCCTGGAAAAGGAAAGGGGGGGGGGTAAAGTCTGTTAACATGTGGAGTTCTAACCTCCTGACGGCTCGTGGGGAAAAGGAAGTAAGTTATTAGCTAGTGACAACGGCACTGGGTCCCAAAATTGAAGTTTGTTTCTGGAGCCTCACCGGGAAGGGCACCGCGGCCTTGAACTCGCGGCTAGCGTTTCGGAACCCGCGGCGCGTCGGGATAAAGTGGAGAGGGCCGAGGAGGCGGAGAAAAGGCAAGGCACTTGGGTGGAAATGTCTCGTCGCTGTCCAAGAGTCCGAGGCCTCCCGGCTACATCATGGCTACATCGTGCCGCCTCCGCGCGTTCGGGGTCGCGTTCAAGTGACCGAGCCAGCCGCGGGTTCAAGGTCGAGTCGGCCCAGTCAGAGCGGTCCCGGGAGGACGCGCCATCAAAATCCCTTCTGTTTAATTAAGTACGATCCGCGGTACAATCTAGTCACATGGTTCAGTTTGACGTCATAGGGACTGCCTGTTTTTTGTTTGTTTTTTGTTGTTGTTGTTGTTGTTGTTGTTGTTGTTTTCCCTGTTTGTGTGGTGTGCGCGGCTAAAGAAGTGCTCGCGTTTCGCTGGCCCAGGGGTTAATTGGGGAGGAAAAGTACAGGGTAAGAGGAGTAGGTACAACCTTGGAGCTGATATCTTGACTTTGAGCTTGAGCCATCTCTCGACCAGTTAGTTATTTCAAATAAATCCGAGGGTAAAGTGTGTGGCATTCGTACATAACAGTGTATCTACTTTGGGATTCCCTATAAAGTTGCGTTGTTCTGTCAGATGATCACTCAGATTACAGTCAAATGGATGTCGGGATGCCTGCTGTGCGCCACAGGGGAGTGTACTTTTCTTACCCTTACTTTTCTGCCCCAACTTGCCCGCCCCTACCCTGGCAAAATGACCTCTTTGTTCCAGGACTCTTTTTTTTCGGGCGGTGCGGTGCGCGTTGGCGTGCGTGCGGCACCAACAAGCGGCCGAGCGGCCCGAGCACTCACCCTGGTACCATACGGCCACGCACGAGAAGGTGGTGCCCAGGTCGATGCCTATCGCTGGCATGGGTCGTGGCCGCGGCCGGCGCCGCCGCCCTCGCCGCCGCCCTCGCCGCCGCCCTCGCCGCCACCCTCAGCCCTCACGCCGCCGCGCGCCGCCCCTCCCGGTGCGTGGCCGCCGTGCCCGCGCCGGGGCCATGCCGTTGGGTGCCGCCGCGGCCCCGCCGGCGGTGCAGGGTGCACCCTCACGCGCTGGCAAACCTGGGCGACCTGGGCGACCGCAAGCGGGTTAACTACTTCACCCTGGGGGGCGTCCCGGCGTCCGGTTTGTTGTCGCGTCCGCTGCCATTTCATGGCGCTGTTGGGCGCGGTTTAGGTCCTCGACGGATTTCGGCTGGGTCACAAAGTGCTGCAAGGCCTACACAGAGTAGTATTTTCGAAAAGGTTGACGTAGTTTACAGTTTCGCGAAATCCGAAATACGTTCTTGCTGGTAGGGTGCATGCGTCGGGCAAAGCCGCGAAACGCGACGTGGACATGGCCGCTGTCGTCCGCTTGGCCCTACCTGGCCTCCTGCTGGGCGGACATGTGGCCACCGGGACTAGGGCCGGGGCATGGCGGCTATGGCGGGCTTGTCGGGTGCGGTGGCAGGCCTGGCAGGCGTGGCTGCAAGTGTCATGCTGCACGCCGGGCGGGGCGGCCGGGGGGCCGGGGCCGTGGAGGGGCAACCGTGGGGCATTGTTGTTGCGGTGGCGCTGCGTGCTGCATGCCGCGCCGTTGTGGCGTGTCGTTTTGACGCGCCGCATTGCACGATCGGACACTGCGGCCGTGTCACTACGTCACTCGTCCTACGCGCCTACGTGGTTTCGCACTTTCAGTGCGGGGGTGCGGCGGGGAAGCGGCGGGGCGGGGGCGGTCTCCGTCACCCCTGGGTCACCCCCTGGTGCCCTCTGCAATGCAGGCCGGTGTGGGCAATCCCCCCGGGGCACGGGGGAGGGGGGGGGAGGGGCGTGGCGGCGCAAATTTCCGGCCATTTCTCGGGCAGTGTTTACTGGCGGTGCGCCAGCAAGTCATCACAGCCACGGCGCGGGCGGCCCAGCCCGCCCAGACCCAGGGGGCGTCTGTCCCTTCCCTTCCGCGCCTACAGCGCCTACAGCCGCGCTGCGACGCTGCAACTCGAGGAGGCGAGGCCGCGGGCTGCTTCCGAGCGCGGCCATTTGTCGCAGCATGTCTCGTCTCTCTCGCACCCGACAACCACGAGGGGGAGGACCATGAGTGCGAGAGAGACGGAAACACCTGACTCGCAAGCAGCGTGCTACGAGGGCTGCAGTGCAAAGGGGCCGAGCCCTCGAGTCGGTCTGAGGATGGCTAACTACGTTAACTGCGCTAAATGCTCATCTCCACTCCCTCGCAGGCCCGGCTTGAGGCCCGGGCCGCCCGGGCGCAGGCCCCGCCGGCTGCGGCCATCCGTCATCCCTTCCCTCTTCCCGGCCATTGGTTCTCGCTCTCGCATCGACTCGGCCTCCACGTCACCGGCTCCCGGGTGGCCAACACCGTCACTGGCAGCTCAGCTCAGTGGACTCACTCCAGGCGGCGTTTTGGTCGCTCTGTCTCTCTCGTACTCATGGGGCGTCCCCTAGGTGCGAGAGAGACCGAGCGACAGAAACGGCTCTCGGAATCGGTCTGCTGGCCTCTCAGGCCTCCGCGCCGCCGCGCTGCCTGTCAGGTTGTCCACGACGTCCATCAATGTCCATTTTCGTTTCAACTGTCGAGAGGTTGGCGGCTTTTTCCGGGTTTCTTTCAGTGCCTCTCGGTTCCTCCCGGTTCCTCCCGGTTCCTCCCGGTTCCTCCCGGTTCCTCCCGGTTCCTCCCGGTTCCTCCCGGTTCCTCCCGGTTCCTCCCGGTTCCTCCCGGTTCCTCCCGGTTCCTCCGGTACCTCCCGGTTCCTCCCGGTTCCTCCCGGTTCCTCCCGGTTCCTCCCGGTTCCTCCCGGTTCCTCCGGTACCTCCCGGTTCCTCCCGGTTCCTCCCGGTTCCTCCGGTTCCTCCGGTACCTCCCGGTTCCTCCCGGTTCCTCCCGGTTCCTCCCGGTTCCTCCCGGTTCCTCCGGTACCTCCCGGTTCCTCCCGGTTCCTCCCGGTTCCTCCCGGGTTCCTCCCGGTTCCTCCCCAGACGGCGGTTCGCGGCAGTGTACCAGGTAGTTTTGGCGCCGCCGCGCAACGCGGTAGTGACTGTGTGTGTGCGATGGGAACGGGGGGAAGGGTGGGGGGCCTAACGCCCGGGGCGCAACAGCTGGCGCGGCTTGCCCCAGGGCGGGGTGGGGGAGGTGTGGGGGAGGGTGGGGGAGGGGTGGGGAAGGGTGGGGGAGGGTGTGGGAGGGGTGTGGGAGCCACGCCGGCCACGCCGCCAGGCTACGCCAGGCCGGCCACGGCACCGCGGTGGGCCCCTCGCGGCCGGGCCTGGGCTAAGGCCCGGCCTGAGGCTGGGGCTGGGGCTGGGGCACCCACGGGGTCCGCGGGGACCACAGTCTCCGGGGAAGCAAGCCAGAGGCAAGCCAGAGGCAGGCTCAGGGCGCGGTTGGTCTCGGCGGCGGAGGTGAGGCACGCGTTCGACACGCGCCACGTGGAGGGCGCGAACCGAGTGCGCGTCGACCTGTCCGTGCAAGCGTTGCGTGTGTTGGCGTGTGCGAGCGTGTGAGCTGGTCGTGCGTGTGAGCTGCGGCCGTCACGCGCCTTGTCGCCTCGTTTGGGAGTCTGAGCGTTACCGCGACGTGGCCCGCGTGACTGTTCAGCGATGCGAGGGATTATTACAGCCTCGCTTACAGGCTAGGGCGGATCCAGGGGGAGGGGGTCAAAAGGACAATCCCCCCCTCTGACCCCTAGATAGCCGCCTGAAATGTAGGCAAAAAGCAACACTTTCCCCCTGTAAGTAGGCAAAAAGTGCTACGTTGCCCCCCCCCTTAGGCCGACTCTGGATCCGCCACTGCTTACAGCCTCGCAGCCTCGCTTACAGCCCCGCTTACAGCGTGGTGTTTGGCGAGGCGTGCGCGAGACGTGCTGCGGGTGCGCGCACCAGCAGCGCCAATGAGTAAACAACACTGTTGGCGTGGGGACGCGGAGTTCGACGGAACGTGGCACCGACGCCGCCGCCGCCGGCCAAAACTCTTACGCTCCTTTTGAGCTCCTCGAGGGAAACGGCAGGGCGTTTCAATAAATGAAACAACAAACTGAAAGAAAGACAAAAACGCAGACGAGTGCTCGATACTTACGTTCGTCAGTTCAAACAAATGTTGAGTCAGTTTCTTTTGAGTCTCCGCTGCAGAAAGGACACTGGGGATCACATTGGATTCAACTATGTAAATTCGGAGCACCTGTCTGCGCTGCTCTGGTTTCGTTTCGTTGTTTGTTGGTTTGTTGTTTCAGGGATTAGCTAGACCGAGCCAGACGTGGCACCGGCTTCCTCGACCTCGTTTCCTTCTTTTTCCCTGCCGATTTCCCGCGAGCATACTGCGTCGCATTCCACCCTGCCTGCGCAAATTGCTGCGCGGGTTATCTTATCCGCCATAACGGCGCGGCCGGGCTGCACCGCGGAGAGGGGTGGCGGGGTGGCAAGGTGCACCATGCCATGGCAGGGTTGCCGTTGGCAGCGTGGCGGTGGAAGGAGGCAGGGTGGCAGGGCCACAGGGTGGCAGGGCCACAGGGTGGCAGGGCGGCAGAGTGACAGGGTGGCAGCGTGACAGGGTGGCAGCGTGACAGGGTGGCAGGGTGGCAGGGTGGCAGGGTGACAGGGTGGCAGCGTGACAGGGTGGCAGGGTGGCAGCGTGACAGGGTGGCAGGGTGGCAGCGTGACAGGGTGGCAGCGTGACAGGGTGGCAGCGTGACAGGGTGGCAGGGTGTCAGCGTGACAGGGTGGTAGGGTTGCAGGATGGTGGTGGCAGGTGGCAGGGTGGCAGGGTTGCAGGATGGTGGTGGCAGGTGGCAGGGTGGCAGGGTGGCACGGTGGCAGCCGCACGCCACCTCGGTGCTGTTATCGCCTGTTGAGCAAGCGGACTAGCGAACCGGCGCGCTCGACCCGAATAAGGCACTGGACTCGCTGACTCGCTGCGGGCGAATTCAGCGAATCGGTTAGCGATGCCTGGCCCCCTGGCCGCCTCTCGGCGAAGGCATTTCTGCGATTTTCTACCACTGGAGAGGCGGCTAGCCGTTGCGAACCGGATCGCCGAATTCGCCCGCTGGAGTCGGAACGCCTGGCGGGTAGGCAGTCCCGGCGGCGGCCCTGTCGGCGGGCCAGCATTCTCGCTCCGCACGGGGCTTTCCCCGGCCGGGCCTGCCCCACACTGTGCCCCACAGCCCCAGCCAGCTGGCCGGCTGGCCGGCGGGGTAACGGGCATTGTAAACCGCGCCGCCCGAGCTCTCTGCCGTCCTGTCTCTCTCGCACCCCTACGGACCAGCCCATGTGTGTGGCAGAGGCAGCGCGGGCGAATAGCGACTCTTCGGAGACAGCCTGATGGCCCTGCTGGGCCCCGGCCGCCCTGGTCGCCCTGGCCGCCCGGTTCGGGGTCCTTGTTTTTACGGCGCACCGTGCCGTGCCGTGCCGCGCCGCGTCGACCCACCCTTGTCATTACAGCTCGGCCGGCGTCCATTTGGGCGTCACGGTTTCACGGCGCGCTGTCTGTCCGGCTGCGGCGGGGCGGGGCGGGCAGGGCTGGGGGCGTTGCGGCTCCATCGGCCCCGCTTCTTTTACTGAGCCAGCGCGGACTGCTCGGTGCGAATGCGGAACGCGGGAAGAGCGTCTTATTTTAGTTCTTGTAGCGCGGCGGCGCGGTCCGCCGGGCCGCCGCCCCGCCAGTCCGCCACCGGTTGGGCTTGTGAGGAGTTATTGAAGCGAGTGCGAAGTCAAGACAAGGGCGAGAGTGCGCCGCGTCGCGCCGCGTCCCGTTGCGTCACCGCGTTGACAGCCGGCGGGGCTTTTGACGCGGTCTTCAGGGAAGGGGGAAGGGGAGGGGGAAGGGGAGGGGGAAGGGGAAGGGTAAGGGGAGGGGGAAGGGGAGAGGGGAAGGGGAGGGGGAAGGGGAGGGGGAAGGGGAGGGGGAAGGGGAGGGGGAAGGGGAGGGGGAAGGGGAGGGGGAAGGGAAGGGGAGGGGGAAGGGGAGGGGAAGGGGAGGGGAAGGGGAGGGGGAAGGGGAGGGGGAAGGGGAGGGGGAAGGGGAGGGGGAAGGGGAGGGGGAAGGGGACAGGCTCGCCGGCACGCCGCCAGGACGCGGAAACTCACACGCGCCGATATACCCGGGGCACGCCGGGGCGCGCCGGGCCGGGGGTTCGAACCCGGGGAGGGCGGTGGCGGCTTCATAATTGTTATTGCGGGGCGCCGGGGAGGAGCCAAGCAGCCAGACTGGCGCGGACGGACGGACAAAGCGGCCTTTGTTCTTTTTTAGCAGACGACGCGTTATTAGGATCAGATTGTTTCCAACTCCAACGCGAGCCCCCCTCCCCTCCCCTCTCCGCGGTTTTCCCGCCCCGCCTCCAATACGCTGCGCGATTGGAGTTGACGAGGCACGCCTCTATTCAGCGGCGCGGCCAAGCGGCGAAGCGGCGAAGCGGCGAAGCGCGGCAGCAGACTCATTCCGGGAGTCGTTTCCGTCACTCTGTCTCTCTATGGCACTCATGGGGCGCCCCGTACTGCTTCGAGAGAGACAGAGCGCCGAAAACGACACTCGGAATCAGTCTGCTATGGACTGATTAGCCGCGGCACGCGTCCACTGTCCGACAAAGACAACGGACAACAACGCCGGCGATATGGCATTTTCAACGAGTTGTTTTCGCTCGACTGGCAAACAAAGAGAGCACTCGCCCACTGCCGCAGTCCGGCCGGTCCGGCATGAGCTGCGCGCTGCGAGTGTAGTGGCCCGATTGGCCGGGACGGCTTGCCGGCTTATCTCCGCAGTGCAGTGACAGTCCCTGACAACGCAGTGTGCCGCATCCGCGGCGCGCCCGTCCACAGAGGGCGGGGACCGTCGTCCGCCCTCGTCCTCGCGGACGCGCTAAGCCGAATGAGACTCGACGTCGCGCCCGACGCATACGGGGGGACGCACAGTGGGCCAGACGACCGGGGGAGGCGGTCAAAACCCCGGACGCGTTTTCACCTCCAGAGTCGCTAAATGGGACTCGAACCCAACGTGTGACCCCACCAATGGATTGCTCTCCGAACGAGGAATCCATCATTGGTGGGGTCACACGCTCGGTTCGAGTCCCATTCGGCGACTCTGGAGGTGAAAACGCGTCTAGAGTTGTTTTGACCGCCTCCACCGGTCTTCTGGCTCACTGTGCGGTATAGGTCTTCCCGCAACGCGCGGCATCACTCTGCTGCGTGCGGGCTGGCGCTCGCTGGCGCTGGCCGCGGAGCCGCAGCAGCCGATTTGCCCCCCCCCCCCCTCCGCGGAGACGAAACCAGCCCATTGTCCCATTGTCCGCCGTCCGCAGCCAGAGGCGCAGCGGCGCACGGGGAGGGTATTTCAGAGCTTTATTTCCACGGCTTCTTCTTGATCGTTGCCCGCCGTCGGGATGAAGGGGTTCGAGTACTGCCCTAATCACCCTTGAGCCCGTCATCCCTTCATCCCTGCCCTTTTGTGTCCTTTCATCTCACCGGCCTTGTCCTCCGATTCCCTCCGATTCCCACTAACGGCCCTAAGCCTCTCTGCAGCACTGCAACAGACACGCGCGGAGACACTGCTCGACATTGCCCCTCGGGGTCCTGTTCGGTGCGCGCGCCCCACTGCACCCTATCCTGCAGCAGACTGATTGATTCCGAGAAGTCGCTTCCATCGCTGTCTCTCTCGCACTCATGGGGCGTCCCCTCTGGGTGCGAGAGAGACGAGATGACTCTCTCGGAGTCGGTCTGTAGGCCGTGGCCCTTCGTCTGTCCTTCAGCCCTTCTCGTCGTCCCTTACGCAACAATGCACTTACCGCGACCCGGTGCCCCCTTTGCATCGGGCAGGGCTGGGCAGGGCTGGGCAGGGCCGGGCAGGGCCGGGCAGGGCCGGGCAGGGCCGGGCAGGGCGGGCAGGGCCGGGCAGGGCGGGCGGGGGGCAGGGCCGGGCAGGGCCGGGCAGGGCCGGGCAGGGCCGGGCAGGGCCGGGCAGGGCCGGGCAGGGCCGGCAGGGCCGGCAGGGCCGGGCAGGGCGGGCGGGCCGGGGGGCCGGGCAGGGCCGGGCAGGGCCGGGCAGGGCCGGGCAGGGCCGGGCAGGGCCGGCAGGCCGGAGGGCCGGGGCAGGGCCGGCGGCGGGCCGGGCAGGGCCGGGCAGGGCCGGGCAGGGCCGGGCAGGGCCGGGCAGGGGCCGGGCAGGGCCGGGCAGGGCCGGGCAGGGCCGGGCAGGGCCGGGCAGGGCCGGCGGCAGGGCCGGGCAGGGCCGGGCAGGGCCGGGCAGGGCCGGGCAGGGCCGGGCAGGGCCGGGCAGGGCCGGGCAGGGCCGGGCAAGGGCCGGGCAGGGCCGGGCAGGGCCGGGCAGGGCCGGGCAGGGCCGGGCAGGGCCGGGCAGGGCCGGGCAGGGCCGGGCAGGGCCGGGCAGGGCCGGGCAGGGCCGGGCAGGGCCGGGCAGGGCCGGGCAGGGCCGGGCCCCTCTTGTGCTGTCCCACGCTGCGCTCAGGGCGCTGCGGGGGACTGGGGCATCGCGGGCCGCCTCCGAAGACGGCTTTCGTCGCGCCGCCTCTCTCGCACTCCCGGGGCGTCCCGCAGGGCTCACGGCGTGAGAGAGAGACACAGACCGAAGAGGCACTGTTCGGCGTCGCTCTACTGGGCCGGGCCCGGCAGTCCCAGTCCCGGCAGGGCGCACCGAAATAGCCCGGCAAACGAGTGAAGAAGGGCTGACGATCCGTTTGCCGCGTCTCTCTCTCTCTCTCTCTCTCTCTCTCTCTCTCTCTCTCTCTCTCTCTCCCTTTGATTGTCAATTCAAATCCCCCCAATAAGCATTTTTATGAACTAAACTCTCTCTGTTCGCAGTGTAGCTAGCGAGGCCGGTGCGACATGGAGGTGACTCCGGCGGGACAGGCAGACGTGCAGTCGTCCAGCACCAGCCAGCAGGAGTCCGAGAGCTCCAAGGTGCGTACGTGCTGCTTGACCAGGCTCGGCCGCGGCCTTGCACAGTGGGCCAGAAGACCGGTGGAGGCGGCCAAAATTCTAGACGCGTTTTGAGCTCCAGAGTCGATAATTGGGACTCGAACAGAACTGTTGACCCCACCAATGGATTGCTCTCCGAACGAGGGATCCATTAGTGGGGTCACACGCTCGGTTCAAGTCCTGTTTAGCGTCTCCGGAGCTCAAAACGCGTCTAGAGTTTTGCCCGCCGGTGCCGGCCCACCGTGCGGGGCTGCATTCTTGTTGGCAACCCTACACAAGCGCCGCACACAACTCACTCGCGGCGGCACGCTACACGCTACACGCCAGTTGGCACCCCTAGCTGGCAGGGCCCTGCACACTTTGCCTTTTTTTTCAACCTCTCTGCTTGCAGGAGGTGCGCCAGGAGGGCAACAGCCTGGTGGAGTCGAGCAGCTCGTCCAAGCGCTCCGTGCAGCAGTCCGTCACGCAGTCCGTGCAGCAGTCCGTCACGCAGAGGGTCATGTCCTCCAGCGTGGTGAAGCAGAGCTCGTTCAGCTCCAGCTCCGTGACGAGCTCCCAGCAGGTAACCTCTTCCGAGGAGCTGCAGCAGCTGACGCAGTAGAGCTGCCAGAGGCTGCCAGAGGCCAGAGGGGCGGCTCGAGGCCCGGCCCCCGGGTCAGAATGTCACAATGTGGGAGAGCGTTTAGTGGGCGGCATTTGCAGAGGAATGTGTCCACAAGGCCTGGCCCCGGCCGACCCGCGGCCCTCGGACCACATTCTGACCGGGGGGCCTGGCCGCCAGCCCTCCCTCCCAACAACAACGGCCTTGCTTCGCTCGCGACAGTGCTGTCGACATTAATTTCGCTCTCTTTGGCCGATATTACCGGAGGATTTCCTTTTATCTCTTTGTTACCGCCAACTCTGTATACGACATATCATTCTAGACGTGTGAGCAGCATTTAACTGAATAAGCCGTTTGCTCTACCGAATCTATGAAAAGACTGGACTCTAAATTGTTTGTTGTGTGTGCATTTTGTCACTTATTGTTAGTCATTTCAGTTTTTACACAGTAGAAAAAAATACTCAGGGGTGAAGTTGAGCGCATTCCTGAAGTTCGTGATATGTTTCGAGATGAAATAACGCACACAGATAAATTCCTACAAAGAACAGCTCTTCGTAATACGAAGAAAACGGCGGATTCGCAGCCTGCGAAGGAAATCGTTTGTAATACGAACGATTTTCTTTGTAATACAAAGCAAAAATCCTTCGCAGGCTGCGAAGAAGTTCTTCGTAGGCTGCGAAGGATTTTTCCTTTGTATTACAAAGAAAATCGTTCGTATTACAAACGATTTCCTTCGCAGGCCGCGAAGCCGCCGTTTTCTTCGTATTACGAAGAGCAGTTCTTTGTAGAGTTTTAAGTGTGCAAGGTTAAAACTTCGGAGACGAGTGTGATATTGTACTCTTCACTAACAGTAAACAGCAGGTGTGAAATGATATGCCTAGACACGCGCATTTTAACTCACTTAACTCCAAACTTCTCTGTATCTATCGCCTGATGGTCTCAACTATAGTTCCTGTTCACTCAGTGCATAACTTATTAAATTGGAAGACATTATTGCTTTTACATTAATGGTTGTCCTTTTCTTTTTCATTATTATTTTCTCGTAGATCGCTTTTGTAGGCAAAAAAGCAAAGTTACCCTTTATTAATGCAAGCAGCAAAGCTTTTGACTTTTCTTTATCTGAATGCATAAATCCTTTTGTTTGAGGGGATCGGACGAATCGAGATGATGGAGTGTATGGGCAAAGTTCAAGGGAATGTGCGTATTTTATTGTCAATATGTATACACTCTGAATTGCTCTGAAAAATGAAAATAAATGATTTGTTTGGTGTAATCATACTATTTTATTATTCCCTAAAAAGAAGTTTTCTGTGGCAATAGCAAAACGTTCCGAGTTTCTGAGGACGAGTAAAGTCGTTCGTTTTTAAAATAAAGTAAAATCAAATCTGAAACGTAAATTTCGACCTTTTTTTTCTCGTTCACAGCATTCCTTGTAATTTTGTCGGTACAGTCTAACCATCCGACTGGAAGAAAACCTGAATGTCGGACCAAACCAGAAATCCTAACTTTCTGACGGTTCTTGATCGAATCACGAGCGTCGGACTGCACGCGTCCAGTACGGCAAACAGAACGGCCCGACGGTCCCCTTGCTGTCTTCTTCGCTACTCTCTCGCCACAGACTCGCTCAGGCTCAGGCCACCTCTTTATCTCTGGACGTTTTGCTACCGCACGTTTTGCCGCCCACTTAACACCCCTCACGAAGCGACACAGAGCAACGCAGGGAACACCCCCAAGGGGTGCACACAGCGTAATGCCTGGCGCTGCAGCTCGAAACCACAACACACTCAAGGAACCTCGCAAACTTATTTCAAACAAATTTGAAGGTTTTTGCAAAGAATTTTGAGCATTTGAGCAACGTAAACTCAGTATAAACTCACAACGAACACATACGTACTTCACGAACTAATACCACGCGTACAACAAATTTAACCGAAATTAACACATGCTCCACAATTACTTGGTCCGGTTTTCCGGCATGCGGGACGGACACGCCGTTCCCTGTTTGCTCTGAGCCCCCTGATTCCGAAAAGTCGTTTCGCTGCCCTGTCTGTCTGTCTGTCTGTCTGTCTGTCTGTCTGTCTGTCTGTCTGTCTGTCTGTCTGTCTGTCTGTCTGTCTGTCTGTCTGTCTGTCTGTCTGTCTGTCTGTCTGTCTGTCTGTCTGTCTGTCTGTCTCTCTCTCTCTCTCTCTCTCTCTCTCTCTCTCCTCTCTCTCTCTCCTCTCTCTCTCTCTCTCCTCTCTCTCTCTCTCTCCTCTCTCTCTCTCTCCTCTCTCTCTCTCTCTCTCTCTCTCTCTCTCTCGCTCGCACATGTGTGGAATGCCCATGAGTGTGAAAAAGACAGAGCGACGAAAACGGCTCTCGAAATCAGTCTGCTAGGGCGCGAGCGTGCTACAGTGGGCCAGAAGACCGGTGGAGGTGGCCGAAACTCTAGACGCGTTTTGAGTTCTAGAGTCGATGAACGGGACTGGAACCGAGCGTGTGACCCCACCAATGGATTCCTCGTTCGGAGAGCAATCCATTGGTGGGGTCACACGCTCAGCTCGAGTCGAGTCCCATTTAACGACTCTGGAGCTCAAAACGCGTCTAGAAAGTTGGCCGCCTCCGCCGGTCTTCTGGCCCACTGTGCGCACGAGCGGCAGTGCCCCACACCGCAAGCCGGCACATCGGCACCTTCCCCCAATGCGGCCCGATCATCCCCTGGCTTTACCTGGCTTCGAGGATCAGCCGCGCTTTACCTCCGCCAGGACCTGCAGGACCTCCAGCAGCAGGGCGCACCGCCAGGGCCGCCAGGGCCGCCAGGGCCGCCAGGGCCGCCAGGGCCAGAAACAAACACTCCGCAACAAAAACACGACGACGCCGAGGTCGAGCAGCGAGAGCAACAGGACGGCGCCAGCAAAAGGAACGAAGCGACCTCGACCACCACGGCCACCACCACGACCTCCACCACGACACAACACGAAGCAAGTCGAGCGAACCAAGCGGGTGGACCGGACGGGCCGGGCGAACCGGGGGGACCGGGGCCGGGGCCTCAGATATTGGTAGCCACCGTCACGACCACACAGCAGAGATTCATTCAACCAGTAAGTTCATTTCTTTTAGCGCTTTCTTTTTCGTTTTTCTTTTTTTTTTTGGGGGGGGGCACACTTACAAAGGGTTTCGAAAGGGCGTGCACTTTCCTTCATCGCCCTCTGCAAAGAAAGAGTCCCGCATCCGAGGGGGAAATCACTCGCGTAATAGTCGGGTCACCGATTCCTAGTATTACGCGTAATAGTAATAGCGTAATAGCCAAATTTCTTAGAATTTTCCCTATAATGGTCCGATTTTAGCCTAAATCTGGATATTTTCGAGCGTAATAAGCTTTCTGTAATAGCGTAATAGAACGTAATAGGGAGTAGTCGGGTCACAGGTTTTAAGAGTGATTTCCCCGGGGAAATCACTCGCGTAATAGTCGGGTCACCGATTCCTAGTATTACGCGTAATAGTAATAGCGTAATAGCCAAGTTTCTTAGAATTTTCCCTATAATGATCCGATTTTAGCCTAAATCTGGATATTTTCGAGCGTAATAAGCTTTCTGTAATAGCGTAATAGAACGTAATAGGGAGTAGTCGGGTCACAGGTTTTAAGAGTGATTTCCCCCTCGCCCGCATCACAACCCTAACAAGGAGAAAAGAAAAGACGCGAAACAGCAGCATAAATCGGCCGTGGTCTGGAAATGGCCCTCCCCTTACAGACCTTGTTAGAACATCCCTCGGAACATCCCCTGAAAAAGGGCCATCCACACTTCTCGTGACGTCCTTCAGCTCCAGACGCGCATTTCACGCGTTGCGCGTACACTTGTTGGACGTGCCGCAGAGCCCCGAGTCCGCCGGCCAGCACAGCCATCAGAACGGCGAGGCGCCGTGGCAGCTACAAGCGGCCCCCGAGGGACCGACCCAGGACGCCGTCGGCCAGGACGCCGTCAACCAGGACGCCGGCGCCCAGCCCCAGGACGCGCCAGCCCCACCCGTAAAGGACTGCTCCGACCTGCCCCAGGTACTGTACAAAGGCGGGGACGCACGGGGACGGCGAACAGGGGAAGGATGATTGGAGGATTAGAAGCCGCGCGATACGAGGCACAGCGCAGGCAGCACCAAGGCACCAAGGCACCCAGGCAGCGACGGGGTGGAGCGGGGACTCCGGCAGGTACGGCACAGTGGGCCAGAAGACCGGCGGAGACGGCTAAAATCCCGGACGCGTTCTGAGCTCCTGAGTCGCTGAATGGGACTCGAACCGAACGTGTGACCTCGCCAATGGATTGCTCTCCTAATGAGGAATTAATTGGTGGGGTCACACGTTCGGTTCGCGTCCCATTCAGCGACTCTGGAGCTCAAAACGCGTCTCGAGGGTAGGCCGCCATCGCCGGTCTTCTGGCCCACTGCTCAGGGACTGTGTGTAAAGTGTCGGCAGGAGGAAGATTGGCAGGTTTGTTTGATGCAGACAAAGGGAAGGAGCGCAGGGTTGGCAACCTGCTCTAATCACCTTCCTGGAAAGCCTCCTGAATGGTATGCAAATGGTGTTAGAAGACGCAACACTTTGCCCCTGCCGTTGCTCCTTCCCCTCCCTGATTCTGGATCCGCCCTTGGCAGCGCTCGGCCACGACACTGGCTGTGTTTAACGCAGCACCCGCCCCGCCCCCTCCGGACCATCACTGAAAAACCGAACGCGAAGAACTTTCGGACGAGTGGTACGGACAGCGACTCCCACGTCGGAATGAAGCGGGATGGGTTTTGTGTGGAGAGAGCGCTTTGCCTTTTTTCTCCGCAAACAGATTTTTTCCTCGTTGGCGCCATGCGATTTGATGGATGGTGGAAACTCCACCGACTCGGTGCCCGACCGCAAATGACGAGCTCAAATCGACAGGAATCCGACCGTTCTTTTCCGTGTGAATGGTGCAGAGTTCTCCGTGTTTAGCTTTGGTTTTAGTGCCTCCCCCTCCCCCAGCCCGTCTGCCATTCGCCCGCCCCATACACCGTGACGCGCGCCGCGGGCGGCAAGCCTGATGTTGTGCTCACATTCGACACATTGAAAAGCGAGGCGAATTGAGTTGGCGTGTCGACCTGCTGTCCTGCACACACACAGACAGACAGACACATACACACAGACACACAGACACACGCAGCACCGCGGCACGACAGGCGATGCGGTATCGCACGCACGCTTGCGTTGTGTTACCCTGTCGGCTCTGTTGTGCTGCCTGACGGCCTGACGGCGCCCGTCCTCCAAAAAGTGGGGGTACGACTCGACGCTTCATTCCGCAGGACAACATCAAATCGTCACTGAAGGAGATCATCTGCGACCTGGAGCGAGCCGACCTGGCCGACGGCGCTGACGGCGCCGCGGACAGCGAGGGGTTCACGAGCCAGACGCGCTCCTCTGTGCAGCACAGCGCCACGCTGGTGAGTGTAGCAGAAGCGCCGAAAACCGTTCAGTCGATGGAAATTAACGGCCCCGACTTCCACACTGTGCCACGACAGGAAACGGCGGAGGAGAGGAGAAGCAAAATGGACAGACAGACCTCCACCACAACTTTAGAACAGGCGTTACTCAAGGAGCACACGGTAAGAGGCGTCGATAACACGACTCACCGAACGCGTCGCGTCGCCCCCTTGTCATCCGAAACGGAATGGGACTCGCTGTCCGGATGTTCGTTGCATGAGGCGAACTACTTCGCATGCGAATGGCCGAATGGGTGTCGCATGGCGCCTGCACTCCCCGAGGCTGGCGGCGCCCTCCGCGCCCTCCGCCACCCACACTGCCATTCGACGAATGTGACGTCATATCCGTTACAATGTGAGAGCTGTCACGTTCGTTGAATGGCAGTGCACATAGCCCGCATGGTTAAGGTAGCATGGTTCTACGACGCGCCGCCTGCATGGATGCGTCGCTACGCCGCGCTGCAGAGACCTCTGTCGCGGGGTATCGGCCCCTTCGAGGGGGTATGCGCTCTCTGAACCTGTGTACCGACTATTACGCTATTACGCTCTATTACTCCACAAATTAATCGGAATTTAGCTAAAAACGGCCTAAAACACACCAAAATTGATAAAATTTTGACAATTTCGGCTATTACGCGACTATTACGCGTATTATTACGCGTGCTATTACAGATAGAGTGAACCGACTATTACGCGAGTGCATACCCCCTCGGGCCCCTTCTGCCTTCCTGCGCACGCTGCGGCCGGCCCGGCCCGGCCCGAGTCGCGCCGTGGAGGCGTCGCGCGTCGGCTTGCCTCGGCTCGAGACCTGTCTCAGTCCATACCAACCAAACGATACTAATGGCGGCCCGGCCCAGACCACGCGTCACTCAGTCACTCGCAGGCCTGCCAACACACAGCCCCTGTCCGACCATCGGTCGCGCAAGATGGATGGCGTGAGAGTCTCGCTGTGTTCCCCGGCCCAGCGCGGCCCTGCGGCACAGCCCAGTGGTGCCAACATACCTGACGGCATTCCAGGACGGCACGCTGGCGGCGCTGGCAGCCCTGCTCAGCCCCGCCGCCAGGACCAGCGTGGCGGTGCAGCCCCCGGCGCCGCCCCCCGCGCCGCCGACACCGCCCCCGCCGCCGCGCCAGCCCAAGATTCCCTTACACAACCTCGCCCACCTGCTGCAGAGCGTCCAGGTACACCGCGCACCGCGCCGCCGCACAGCGCCGCACAGTGGGCCAGAGGACCGGTGCAGGCGGTCAAAATCCCGGACGCGTTTTGAGCTCCAGTGTCGCTAAATGGGGCCCGAACCGAACGTGTGACCCCACCAATGGATTGCTCTCCGAAAGAGGAATCCATTGGTGGGGTCGCACTCTCGGTTCGAGTCGACCTGTTTAGCGACTCTGCAGGTCAAAACGCGTCTGGAATTTCGGCCGCCTCCAACGTTCTTCTGGTGCGCCGCCACGCCGCCACGCCGCCTGGCTCCGCTAGCGAGTTGTTTGCCACACTGGAGGACAGAAGGGAGGGGGTGGGACTCTTTGCGTGGGACGGGACACAATCGTGGACAGGCGCGAATCGAGGTGGAGGCCGAAAGGTGCGAAAGGTAGGCAAGAAGTCGCCCGAAGAAGGCAGCCTTTGCTACCTCGCCCCCTTCTGAACCCCGATCGTGGGGGCGACAGTGTGGAGCCTCGCGGCGCCGCAGCCCCTCGCCTCGCCTCGCCCCCCGGGGCGCCCCCCGAGGCCACTCTGGGCACTCCGTCGCGGCCGAGGCCATGGCCGAGGCCCAAGCGGGCCCAAGCGACTGAATCAGCGGCCGGGAATCCTCTCACGCCGCGCAGCCCGCGCAACTCGCACAATGGTGCGGTCGTAATGACAAAAATACTTCACTTTCCGTAACCTCACAAGACTGTAGTCTGGTCTCACTTTCAAAAACACGCTTCACGCTTCGCACGGAACTGTAGCCAGAGCATGCATGCAGCCTCGCCTCTCTCCAGCTTGCCGCATTTCCGCTTATTGATTCGGAGAAGCGAAATGTTCTCTCTCTCTCTCTCTTCCTCGCTGGAGCGCACTGGAGTGCCGCCCTGACTGTGGCCGCTGGGCCGCCGTCTGATTGCAGATCGCTCACGAGCTCAACATGCTGGGCCGCCACGAGGAGTCGCTCTGCAAACAGGAGATTGCGGAGGAGCCCTACATCAACCACATTCCGGTGAGTCCCAGCTTCCGGCACGCCGGCAGCGCGCCAGTACGGAGAGCCTCCAGAGGAGACCGGAGAAGCGGCCGAAATTCTCAAGGGGTTATCCTCTCTGGTAATCGTGTGTACACTTAGTCCAGTAATCATTGGTAATTACACACCAAAACTGGCTAGTTCCGCCGTTTTTATCGGATTTTGGTTTTTTTTTCTCATGAAATTAGGCCAAAATGCTCTTAGCTGGCCAAAATTATGGAGTTTGTAGGTAATCACTGGTAATCAGTAATCCTGTGTATACACTCCTGAGCTGAGTGGTCAACCCCTTGGAAATTCTAGACGCGTTTTGAGCTCCAGAGTCCGCTAAACAGGACTCGAACCGAACGTAGGACCCCACCAATGGATTCCTCTTTCGGAGAGCAATCCATTGGTGGGGTCACACGCTCGGCTCGAGTCCCATTTAGTGACTTTGAGGTTGCCGAAATGACTCTCTAAAGAATCCCCCGGGGGGGGGGGGGACGTCGCCCGTCACCCTTTACCCCTATGTAGGCAACTCTCGCGACATTCCCCCTCCCCTGAACTCGTCTCTCTGGATCCGCCCCTCGGTCCTTTGGAACTCCTCAGCTCGGTGTAACCGGTACCGAGGAGAGACCTCCGCTTCGCTTGGGGTGGGTTGGAGGCACGCCCAGCGCCGCCGCCACAGACGAACGCGGATCGGGACCAGGAAAAGTGGTCCTCCGTCGAGCGAGGCAGGACGGACAGCGGGACAGCAAACCGAGGCCGCGATCCATCAGACCGACGTCGCATGCGAACCTGCACTCCGAACCCTTTCCCCCCTCCCCCTTTTATCCAAACCCCGGCGTTCCGTTCGTCTTGTTCAACTCATGTCCGTTTAGCGGTCCCCAGCTATTCTTGGGCAGCAGACAAAGACAACGCGCGTACTCGTCCGCTTCCTCTCTGTGTCCCCTTTCTTTTGCGGTGTCTCTCACGCAGTCTGCGGCCGGGCCAGGCCGCCAGACCGGGTGGAGCAGGCTCATTCCGAACAACATGCCACCCACCGTCGCTGTCTCTCTCTCTCTCGCACTCCGGAGCGTTCCGTAGGTGTGCAAGAAGGACAGGGCGAAGGGGCACCGTTCGGGACCAGGGCCGCCCGGGAAGACGCTCAAATGAATCATGCCCGTCTGGTGGTGGAGGTGGTAGGGGTGTATACACCGCACCGAACCGTAAATCTCGAAACCCAGGGAGTCTCAACAAACCGTTGCACAGTATTTCACGCAAAATTCCCTCTTCCCCTCTTCTCGAGCCCTAGGCTGACTAACTTGCTTCCGCGGTGTCACGGTCGCGACGACGCGACCGCGGCCAGCCGCCGCGCTGGCGATACCCTGCGGCGCCTGGCCGCCCGCCGCGCGGGGTAGCGCCGCGTGGCGCCGCGGACGCTGACGCTGCAGCCTGCAGCCCTACAGCGGCGCGGCCCAGCGCGGGGCCACGCCGGGGCGGGGCGGCCGGGCGCGGGGGTTGGGTCTGCCGCGGCGAGGGCCGGTTGGGTCGGAAACCGCCAAATTGTGGCGGCAAGGCGGGCGGCGCTCGAGGCTGCCGTGGGCGGTGGCTGGGAGGCAGGCCCGCGGGCGTGCCGTGCCGGCCGATCGTGCCGCGGGGGCAGGGCCGCGCCGGCCGCCTCAGTCTGTTCTTGCTGGCCGCGGCGTGCGGCACCGCGCCGACCACGTAGCGCCTCGGAGCGCCTCGGAGTGCCTCGACGAGCAGGGCGAACCGACAAGCATCCGCGGAGCACCAGCACCGACAGCGTTAGTGCCGGGCGTGGCGGGGGGGGGCGGAGCGGGGCGGGGCGGGGCGGGGCGTTGCGGGCGTATGGCGGGGTGCACAATGCGTCGAGAGAGGGAGGAGGGCGAAACTGTCTCTCACGTCGTGGACCCTGGGAGGCTGCCTGCGCGGCGTTGCGCGGCGCGGTCTACAGTAAATCCGCCTCTGGGCTCATCAATGCGCCGCCGTACGCCGTACCGGGGGCGGCAGGACGGGGGGGGGGGGGGGGTGCGGGGGCGGCGGGGCGGCGGGGCAGCGGGGGCGACAAGCCGGGCAGCAGGCCCTTGGAAGCCTCCCCGGGGAGCCCCAAAGTGTGGGGGTCCTTGAGGCGGCGCGACGCGACGTAGGGCGCACGTGGCCGCGGTCCGAGCCAGGCCGAGCCAGGACACTGAGGACAGGCAGCCGAGCGATTCCGCAGTCGTGTCGTCGCTCTGTCTCTCTCGCACCCGACGCGACGCCGTGTGCGTGCGACGGACAGAGAGAGAGAGAGAGAGAGAGAGAGAGAGGCGACGAAGCGACTCGGCGCGCAGGACGCGGCATTCCTCGAGGTTGGTGCCGCAAGCCGCAATGAGGGGGCGACGGAGCCAAGACGGAGCCAAGACGAAGCCAAGACGAAGCCAGCGGGCTGCCGGCTCGCCGCGCCCTGGCGGGTTGCGGGTTCGATCCCCACGAGGCGCGCCGCCTTTTTCATCTTCTTGTGGTCCAATCCACCTTCCCCGATGACGCCCCAAGGGCCGTGATAAGGAAGCCGTACACCGACGAGGGCTTTGCCCCGCTCTGCCCCCCCCCCTTGCGCCACCCTTTCAGGGCGCCGTAGGGACGGACGGCCCTTTTGACGTCACGGGTCGGGCTGTGCAATCTCCGTTCACGGCACTGCAACCGAACGTGTGACCCCACCAATGGATTCCTCGTTCGGAGAGCAATCCATTGGTGGGGTCACACGTTCGGTTCGAGTCCCATTTAGCGACTCTGGAGCTTGAAACGCGTCTAGAATTTTGGCCGCCTCCACCGGTCTTCTGGCCCACTGTGCGGGCTTGCCAGCTTGCCAGTGCGGAGCTATCCCAGAGAAGCGCCCCGAGCAGGGACTGTGCATTCGCACCTCCCGCCGAGTGCCGGCCTGTCGACCCTCGAGCCCTTTGGATAATCCCCGCCCCCAACCCCGCAGGCTGATTCCGCTCCCTGCACTCATCACTCTGTCTCTCTCGCACTCGTGGGGCGTCCCGTAAGGGAGCGAGAGAGACAGCGTCGCTCGGAAGCAGCCTGCCACGGCCACGGCAGCCCCTGCTCGCGGCACGGCCAGGCACGGCGCGGGCCAGCAAAGGCCAACAGCAGGCGGGCCGTCACTCCGATCAGATGATGCCGCCACGCCAAGCCGCGCGAGGTTCCGAGTCTGACTGCGCACTACCTCGGACTACCTCGCCCCGCGCGAGGGCGAGGGAGAGGGGAAAGACGGTGATGACGGGCTGGACTGATTCCGCGCGGCGCGCACATCGCTGTGACCTCTCTGTCTCTCTGCCTCTCTCTGTGTCTCTGTCTCTGTGTCTCTGTGTGTCTCTGTCTCTGTCTTTCTCTCTCTCTCTCTCTCTCTCTCTCTCTCTCTCTCTCTCTCTCTCTCTCTCTCTCTCTCTCCCCTTCTCTCACTCACTCACTCACACACACACACACACACACACACACACACACACACACCACTGATTTCACTCGCGGGCAGGCCCGTCAGTGCCGCGAGGGAGATAGAAGGCGAAGAAGCGTTCTGGACGGAGTCAGCCTGCAGGGTAGGCAGCCGTCCGTGAGGCGCCGCGCACGTGTTCGGCGGGCCTGCAGATGCGCCGGGCGCTGACAGTGTGACAGCCGACAGTCGAGGGGAGGGGAGGGGGGAGGGGGCCACCGCGCTGCCGACTGCCGTTCGTGCGCGTGTCATTTGCCTGGTGTTTGCTGCGCTCGCTGGCTCGCCGATACGGCATCCCATTTTGCCGTGACAAGAAGATGAAGGATGAGGAGCCCCCCCGGCGGCAGGGAACGGTGGATAGTGCCCCCCCCCCTTTTCCCCTTTCCCCGCCCTCGCGCTTCCGAGTCTTCTGCAGATGCCCGCCTCGCCGCGCGCCGCTCAGACCGCCTCCGCGACTCGCGAAACAAAACGGGCGTTCTTGGAAGCGGGGCGCCATAGCCGTGTCTATAGTTTTGGGAGCGGAGTTGCGGGGGGGGAGGGGGGGGCGCTGGGCCAATCCGCGTGTAGTCCACTCGAAAGCAGAGAGACTTTGTTGAGGTGGTTAACTTTGGTCGATAGGCTGCATTCTACAGAGTTGACGTCGAAAATCCGACCTAACACACTGGTAAAACAAAGGCATAGAAATTACGCCCTTAAGGGCATGAATACTCCAAGGGCGTAAATCGTTTACGCCCGTAAAGGGTATGATTTTAATGTCTTTGTTTCATCAGTGCACCAAAAGCTGATGCGAGGACAAGGACGTCGTGCATGTGCAACCGGAAGTTGCAACCGGCCCTTGGTTGCAGGAATCGGATTTTCGACTGAAAGCCGCGTCGAATTCAGCCTGTCGAACAGTCTCGATCACCTCCACAAAATCTTAATTTTTTTTTCGTTCAGCGACTCTCAGTCAGGGCTAGCAGACAAGCCAGCATGCGCGTGGCGGTCGCCGCGGACTGCCGCCGAGTGTAGCCGCGCGCAGCGTGTAGCGAGAACCGACGAAGTGAACGAGCGAACTGACAGTGAGTCCGACAAGGCCGCCAAGGCGACAAGGCCCGGGCAGGCCCGCCCTCCGCCACCGCGGCCACCATGACGATCCGCGGCGACCGCAGCTGGGTGCGCGAGCGCGCCGAGCACTTCCAGTCCTCCACGCACTCGACGCACTCCACGCACTCCACGCACTCCATCCGGCGCTCGGCGTCCGCCAACAGCGTCATCGTGTCCGGCAGGGGCTTCAAGCCCTCCGACCGCTTCGACCCCAACAAGAGGGAGTTCCTGACCAACCTCTCGTCCAAGATCTGGCACGTGTCCCTCGTAAGTGTCCTCTTGTGGACAGTGTGGGCCACCAGTGGAGGCGGCCAAAACGTTAAACGCATTTCGAGCTCCAGAGTCGCTAAACTGGACTCGAACCGAGCGTGGTGACCCCTCTCCTCGTTCGGAGAGAAATCCATTGGTGGGGTCACACGTTCGTTTCAAGTCCCATATAGCGACTCTGGAGCTCAAAACTCCATGCACATCCAAACGGGGTGAGGGAGAGACCTAGATTCTTCCCCCGGTAGCTCAGTGACGTCTCCTAACGTCAGTGTTGAGCAACCCGGTTGAAAAACGGAAGCACCACACACCCTTGCTCTCTGTTCGAGTGTTCTCTTTTATTTTTCCTCTCCCCTCGCGCTCGTAGGGGCTCCCTCGACCCCAGCTCCCCCCTTCCCGGGGCCGGTGAGGCGTGTATGTATGTATGTTTGTGTATGTGTGTGTGTGTATGTATGTGTATGTATGTATGTATGTATGTGTGTGTGTGTGTGCGCGTGTGTGTGTGTGTCTGTGTGTGTGTGTGTGTCTCTCTCTCTCTCTCTCTCTCTCTCTCTCTCTCTCTCTCTCTCTCTCTCTCTCTCTCTCTCTCTGTGTGTGTGTGTGTGTGTGTGTTTTTTTTGTTGACGGTGTTTCTGGCAAGGCTCCCGGTTTCGGCGAGGCTCGGCGAGGCAGCGCGGCGAGGCGCGGGCAAAACAAGCCGACCACCGCGTCCCGCTGGGCTGCGCCAGGCTGCGCCAGGCTGCGCTGGGCCTGCAGGCCCTGCTGGGCCCGCACAGCTGTCTGGCGTCTGCCGGGCCGCGCGGGGAAGCTCGAGAAACACGCCCGCGCCCCGCGCGCCCCGCTCCACCCCTGGCCCGCCCCCTGCCCGCCCCCTGCCCCGATATTGCAGCGCCGGCCGGGCCAAGCTACCAGCTCAGAGTGGGCCAGAAGACCGGCGGCGGGGGTGGTCAAAATCCCGGACGCGTTTTGAGCCCCAGAGTCGCTGAACGGAACTCGAACTGAACGTGTGCCCGAGGGGGTAACCACTCGCGTAATACCCTGTACACAATAACCGTGTATTACGCGTAATACACGTGATCGTAATACCATTTTTGGGTCAAATGTGCCAAATTTTGGCATTTTAGGGCCGTAATACACGTGTAATACACCCTTAAAACAGCGTAATACCGAGTAGTCTGTACACGATTTCGTGAAGTGTTTACCCCCTCGCGTGTGCCCCACCTCTGATTTCTTTTCCGAACGAGGAGTCGATTGGTGGGGTTATATTCGGCTCGAGTTCTGTTTAGCAATTGCGGAGATTGTGGAGCGCAAAACGCGCCGAGAGTTTTGGGTTTTGGCCGCCGCCACCGCCGCACTGTGCAGCAGCGCTGCGGCCCATTGTCTCGTCTCGTCTCGCACTCCGCCCCTGATCGCGTTTGGGACAAGAGAAGTGCGAGGGGCAATGGAGAGAGGCTCGTTGCGTGAAGGCCACGCGGGGAGGAGGGGGGCACGCCAAATCTCCACCAGTAACTGGCCTGCAGTGGACGCCAGGGCGTTGCACCTCTGCCCCTCCCCCTCCCCCTCCCCCGGCTAAGAATAAAGAGTTGACGGCTCCACCCGCGGTCCCGCGAACACCAGCGGCGCGGCGGCGCTAGGAGACCGGCAGGTGTTTGCCTGTTTGCCCGCTTGCGTGTTCGCCCCGTTCGCCCGTTTGCCGTCTCGCCGCTGTAGACCCTTTCACTCTTCGCCGAGTAAAGAACGAGAGTAATCAATAATCAGGAAGCAGCCTCGCGCCACCTAGCGGCCGCCGCTTTGAGCTCCGCTGAAACCAATCAGGGTTCAGCTTCTGACGGTTCACAAGCGAGGGAGAGAGAGCAAGAGAGCGAGAGATGGAGGGAGAGCGAGAGATAGAGAGAGCGAGGGTGCCTCGTGACGCAGAGGCAGCGACGCAGAGAGAAAGAGAGAGAGAGAGAGAGAGAGAGAGAGAGAGAGAGAGAGAGAGAGAGAGAGAGACAACGCGCAGACCAGCGATTACAAGCCCGAGTGGGATAATGCGGTGCATCGGGAGACCGACGACGGGCCTCGCGCCCATTTCAATTACCCTTCATATCGGCTCCCCCATTCACCCATTCGGGGAACGCTCTGTCTCTGTCGCTCTGTCTCTATCCCCCCTCCCCCCCTCTCTCTCTCTCTCCTCTCTCTCTCTCTCTCTCTCTCTCTCTCCCGAACTCCGGCCGGGAGCGGTCGGTTCATAGGACTATTGTAGGGCGCTAACAACGATAGGGACACAAGAAGTGTCTCGTTGCTGCTATGCTGCTGCTGATGATGATGATGATGATAACGATGATGATGATAACGATGATGATGACTATGATGATGATTATGACTATGATGATGATGATAATGATGATGATGATAATGATGATGATGATGATGATGATGATGATGATGATGATGATGATGATGATGATGATGATGATGATGATGATGATGATGATGATGATGATGATGATGATGATGATGATGATGATTTGTGTCCAGGATGACGACCGGTCGCGGGGCGGACCCGCCCACATCGACCTCGAGAGGCTGTTCACTCCGGCCACCGACAGTGGCGAATCCACGCCCAGGGCGCGAAAGAGTACGTACCACGGCGTAGTGCAGGTGGTCTCTAGAAACAGAACAGAAAATGAGTCCGTACAATTCCTGTACCGTTTGCCCCACGCGCCAAAAAAAGGCGAGGACCTAGGGGACAGTTCACGGAATCGTCCCTTGTGGGGGCCGGGGGCACAGACTGCAGTCGTGCATAGACTGACTTCACACGTCGCTGTCGTCGCCCTGTCTCTCTCGCATTTGTGACGGGACGCTGTGCCGAAGCAATCTGCGGGAGGAATGCACAGAGACGCTTTGACGGCAGGGTCGCTTTGATGCGTTGTTGGCAGGCCGCATGTACGCGTCGTCGAGCTTCTACGGGCCGGAGCACCCCACCGTGGAGGAGCAGGTGGAGCTGGCCAGGCGCATCTCCACCTCCCTGAGCGACATCTCCAACCAGCGGTCCAAGGGGCAGACCATGTACGTCAACCGGAAGAAGCGCTCCGCCGGATGGGTGCACGCAGGTACTGGCACCGGATGACACCAGTGGGAAGCCACCATTGGGCAGCCACCAGTGGGAACCCACCAGTGGGAACCCACCAGTGGGAACCCACCAGGGAACTCACCAGTGGGAACCCACCAGTGGGAACCCACCAGTGGGAACCCACCGGTGGGAACCCACCAGTGGGAACCCACCGGTGGGAACCCACCAGTGGGAACCCACCAGTGGGAAACCACACTTTGAGCTTACTTGGAAGTGTGTGCTTCGACACTTGTGCAAACCATATATGTACTCAATGAGCTCTAGTTAGCTGGAGCCGAAGGCGAATGCAAAGTCCTAGCGGCCTCCTCATCCCCCCCCCCCAGGTGCCGGCCGCCGGCCCGGCAGCCTCGCGATGCTCCAAGAGGCTCCAAGTATGTAGGTATGTCGGCCACGGTGAACAGGCAGCCCTGGGCGGCCGTGGGCAGGGGCCGTCCGTTGCTGGCGGGGCTCGCAGGCCGGGCCAGCCGCCAGGCCCAGCACGCCGCTTACACGCACAGCCCTTGCCCTATCCGCCGGCCGCGTGCGCGCCACGCCGCCACGCCCCTCGCACGCAGCCCGCGCCCAAATGTCACGTGACGGGCGTGTCGCGCGGACGCGTGGCGGGGCGTGGCGGGGCGTGGCGGGGCGTGGCGGGGCGTGGCGGGGCGTTCGGGTCGGGCGGCCAGGTCGGCGCAGTCTGAGGACGTCCCCGGGGTGCGCACCACGGCCGGCCACGGCCCCACCTGCTCGGTCCGCCCAGATCTGGCCGCCTTCCGGGTCGCTTCCGGGGCATTTCCGGTCCATTTCCGGCGGAGCAGGCCGCGCTTTGGCAGTGGCGTGGAGGAAGCGCGGCGGGCAAGACCCTTCACTCACCCCGGTGCCTTTGCTTGCAGCCACCGATGATAGCTTCTCCAGCGCGCCCACCACCCCCGTCCCAGATGTCGTGCCTCCGGGACCGGTGAGTACAACCACAAGCCCACGGCGGAGTGCTGCACTGCGCTGGGCTTGGGAGTGGCGCCTCTGGCGGCCAGTGGCTCCGATGTGACCGCCAGCTCTGTTGCAGGACAAGCCGGTCCTCAAGCTGGTGATGGACCCCCGCGGCCAGGTCCAGGACCTGTGGAGCCTGCAGCGGCAGGGCGTGCCCGTGGCCGTCGACCCCAAGTGCGGCGCGCTCAGCCCGGAGGTGTGCTTCCACCTCGTGAGGGACCTCAACGCCCCCAAGGGCAAAGGTACGCCCAAGGCGGTACGCCCTGCGCGGCGACGGAGCGGCGACGTCGTCGAGGCACGCTCCACGCTCCGAGAATTTGCACTGCTTCACTGCATAGTGGGCCAGAAGACCGGTGGAGGCGGCCAAAACTCTCGACGCGTTTCGAGCTTCACAATCGCCAAACAGTACTTGAACCGAACGTGTGACCCCAGCGATGGATTCCTTGTTCGGAGAGCAATACATTGACAGGGTCACGCGTTCGGTTCGAGTCCCATTTAGCGACTCTAGACTGAAACCCGGTAATTATGCACTTTAGGGGCTCCACCGACCCCTAAAGTACATAATTACCCTGAAACCCCGTCCGGGACTTTGACCGCCCCCGGGTCTTCCGGCCCACTGTGCACTGTTCGACTGCGCGTTTCGCTGAGCCCTCCGCGTGCCGCAGGCGCCGAGCTCTTCGCCAAGAGGCGCAAGAAGTCGGAGAAGTGGGTCGTGGACGAGACGACGGTGCGGTCCTCCTCCTCCACCTCCACCATGGAGTCCACCTCGCCCGCGCCCAAGCTGCCCGTGCCCGCGGCGTCCTACCTCACCAACGGCACCGCCAAGGTGCACAACGTGCAGCGCATGAACGAGATACAGGTGAGCCCAGCCCTTTGGCAAGCCCGGCCGCCGCCCAGCAAGTCGCCAACAGACAACGCGGACACGGACACGCTCCCCCGCGGGCTGCACTAACCGCATAGCCGGAGCAGCGCCGCCTTGCCTACCTCTCTAATTGCTATTGGCAGCTGGACCACAAATGGTCGTATGCATTATCCGGCAACTCCGGGGCTACACCTAACGTGTCGGATCGCCGACTTGAACAGAAACTCAAGAGGCTGGACCACAACAGTATGGCTCGGCTCCGGGTCCGGCACCGCCACGCTCGCGCTCGCTCTGCTTAACATGACAGGCCATCCGCGCTGAGAGGAATGGTTTACCGTTCGATGGGCTTTAGGCCGCATTAGGCCGCACCACATTATATCAGTGAGAGCCGCTTTTTGGGCCAGGCCGCCAGCAACCCGTACAGTGGGCCAGAAGACCGGTGGAGAGGGCAAAAATCTAGACGCGTTTTGAGCTCCAGAGTCGCTAAACAGGACACTGAACGTGTGACCCCACCAATGGATTCCTCATTCGGAGAGTAATTCATTGGCGGGGTCACGCGCTTGGTGCGAGTCCCATTCAACGACTCTAGAACTCAAAACGCGTCCGGGCTTTTGACCGCCTCCACCGGTCTTCTGGCGCACTGTGGCACGCCAGGGGCGTACAATGCCGCCAATCCCGATGCAGGCAGGCAGGCCGTGGCGAGAGGCGAGCCCACACCGCAAACACCGCACACAGCGCATCATGCACCAGGCGCGGCAGGGCCGCACAACAGACACGGAGCCCCTCCCTGGGGAGCGGACTCTCCCGCGGCGCTCCCCTGCGATGCAGCACACTGTAGGCTGACGAAGCCGCAGGCACACAGTGGGCCAGAAGGCCGGTGGAGGTGGCCAAAACTATAGACGCGCTTCGAGCTCCAGAGACGCTAAACATGACTCGAACCTGACGTGTGACCCCACCAATGGATTTCTCGTTCGGAGAGCAATCGATTGGTGGGGTCGCACGTTCGTTTCGAGTCCCATTTAGGGACTCTGGAGCGCAAAACGCGTCCAGAGTTTTGACCGCCTCCAGCGGTCATCCGGCCCACTGTGAGCGGCACCCGGGGACACACGACGGCACTCGCAGCAGCCAAACACATCGATGGAAACCACACACACTCACGCACACAATGCACTAATACACTCTTACATGGAAACAGATACACACACACACACACACACACACACGTGCGACTCGCCGCGGCGTCCATGAAGTACCTCCCGCTTGCGCTGCCGCTCTAACCCCTCGGCTTCCGCCCCCGCCGCGCCCGCTTCTAATTCGCAGATAAAATTCCAGGAGAAGTTCTCGCAGCCCCGCGTCAAGCTGGTGAAGAGCCCGTGGGAGGCGGCCCTGGAGACCGGCTCCGTGGACGGCGCGTTCCTGGAGGGCCACAAGGCCGCCCCCAAGGCCGCCCCGCCGCCGAGCGCCGCCCCCGCGCCCCCGCCCCGGACGCCCGCAGTGGTAGGGAGGAACAACCCGGAGCGGGCGGTGACCCGCCGACCCGCCCTGGACCCGTCGGCGCGCGGCCGGCCAGCCGTCTCATTCCGAAGGGCGGTTTGTCGCTCTGTCCCTCTCGCACCCGTTTCCCCTTCGAGTGCGACGGAGACAGAGCGACGGGACGCCTCCCGAGGCGAGAAGGCCGGCCGGTCACTGCGTGGCACTGCGTGGGCGGCCGGCGGGTCAGCCTTCGCTCGGCCAGTACAGTGCACAGTGCAGTAGATAAAATGCATGGCCGTTTCGAAATGTCGAAACGTCGCCGAAGATGCGTCCTCCGTAACGCAGAGCGACTCGGCACGACACGGCATGGCGCCTGCGCCTGCAACACTGCAAACGCGTCGGTAAGCTTACGGTGTGCCTGACGACCCCGCCTGTCCCGCAGGGCACGCCCACCTGGACCGCCACCACCACGGCCGCCACGGTGCGCCCGCTGTCCGCCACGGAGTCCACCTTGTACTCGGCCCGCGCCCCGCGCGGCTGGGGCCAGCACAGCACGGCGCAGCAGTACGGTGAGTGTGCCACACAGTGTGGCAGTGAGTCAGTGAGTCACCGCGCGGCGGAGTTTGACCCCGTTTGAACCGCTCGGCACGGCCCGGCTGTGCCCACGCGCCGCGACCTATCGGCAGTCCGGGTGCGTCTCGTCAATCCGCCTGTTTGCATTACTCTGTTCTTATCTGCGTCGTTAATGGGGCCGCGGCAATTGGTCCCCATCCCGACGAACAGGGCCGTGAATCAAGGGGAATGGGCACTCGTTGCGGTGTATGTCGACGTGTCCTAAATGAACTCTGGTATCTCCACCAGACTGATAGAACCATCGTATCTCCCGGACGCCAGTAGAACTACCGTACTCGGCCGGCGCCCATAGAAAAGACGTAATTCGGGAGATCTGGCAAGACTATTGTATCGCTTTTTCGGCCTGTTTTTAAGAGATTGAATTGAAAGGTTAAGTGTCTCTAAAATTCGGAAAATGAAATGAGTTTGATGTAATTGTCAACCTTTAATATCCCCTTTCATTTTCCAAAATTATAAGACACATTTAACCTTTCAATTCATTCTCCTTAAAACACGCCTAAAAAGCGATACAATAGTCTTGCCAGATCTCCCGAGTTACGTCTTTTCTATGGGCGCCGGCCGAGTACGGTAGTTCTACTGGCGTCCGGGAAATACGATGGTTCTATCAGTCTGGTGGAGATACCAGAGTTCATTTAGGACACGTCGATGTACAGTGCAGTGGGCTGGGCCGCACAGTGGGCCAGAAGACCGGTGGAGGCGGCCAAAACTCTAGACGCGTTTTGAGCTCCAGAGTCGCTAAGTGGGACTCGAGCCGAACGTGTGACGCCAGCAATGGATTCCTCGTTCGGAGAGCTATCCATTGATGGGGTCGCACGCTCGCTTCGAATCCTGTTTAGTGACTCTGGAGCTCAAAACGCGTCTAGAATTTAAGCCACCCCTACCGGTCTTCTGGCCCACTGTGCGGCACACTTTGATACCTAATATCCCGCTGAGGACGACAGACGCGTCACATTTTAATCCCCTTGCTGACGGAGGGTACCGGGACGGGTTCAAACGCACCGCGCTACTCCTGCTTTTCATTTTGACAGCACTAACACCCCGCACAGCCCAGCCACCTGATGGAAGGTGCCGGGACGGAGATTTAATCAGTACCGCGCTCCTTTCGCTTTTCGTTCTGACAGCACTAACACCTCGCACAGCTAGGCGACCCGCCAACGAAGTGTCGCATTTCGGGTCGCCTCGCCAAGCGGTGCGCGTTTGCAAGCCGTACACAGGGAGTTGTCCTGAGATAATTACTGCCCATCTTTCTGCAAACGTGCTTGACAACCGTCACCGCTCGCCCGCGGGCGAGTCGCACCGAACACGACGTTACGACCCCTGCTGCGAAAAGCCTCCGGAAAAACTTATTACCTCATGTCCCTGGAAAATGAGATAGCAGTGAGATAATTTTCAAGAACATTTACTTGTCACTATCCCATTTTCTTGGGACAATAAGGAAGTTTTCTCGGCGTCGTTTCCTGCACGATCTCCCCAACGGCCTAACCCGCACCGCCACCACGCTTCCGCAAACGCAAACGCAACGGCAGCGTCACACGCCGCGAGGCCGCGAGGCCGCCAGGCAGACAGCCGAACAGGCATTGATAGGGCGAGGCGAACGCGTTCACCCCGATGACACGCCGATACGACAATACGACGGTACGACACTCGCTGCAGGCGCGGTGTCCTTCAGCCTCACGTCGCCGTCGGCGGCAACCTCGACCTCGACCGTCACGGCCAGCGCCACGGCGAGCAACCCCATCGTGTCGGCCAAGGAGGTCACCAGCTCCGTCAAGGAGGTCACCAGCTCCGTCAAAGAGGTCACCACCTCCGTCAAGGAGGTCTCCAGCTCCACCAAGGCCGTCACCATCTCCTCGGCCGTCGAAGTGCTGGGTGACGCCGCGGTCCCCGAGGTCCCCGACGAGGACGAGGACGACGAGAGGGTCCGCGAGGTGGAGCAGGTGGTGGAGAGCGCCAAGCAGATCGTGCGGGAGACGATCGAGCGCGCCGTGCAGCGCGCCACGCCGGACGGCCTGCAGCACGACGAGGACGAGGACCAGGAGGTGCAGCGCCACCTCAGCGCCGTGGAGGCCGAGCGGGCCGAGAGGACGGCGGGGCAGGAGAAGCAGGTGCAGCTGGTGCAGCAGGAGCAGGCCGAGGCGGTGCGGCAGGCCGAGCAGGCAGTGCAGCAAGAACGGCAACAGCGGCAACTAAAAGAACAGCGAGAACAACAAGAACAGCGAGAGCAGCAAGAACAGCGAGAGCAACAAGAACAGCGACAACAACAAGAACAGCGAGAGCAACAAGAACAGCGACAACAACAACAAGAACAGCGAGCGGAAGTACAGCGTCGACACAAGCCGGCCTGCGAGGTGGTGGGCGCGCGGCCGCTGTACGGCAACGTGGACCCGTTCGCCGTCAAGCTGCGGCCCGTCAACCAGGGCCTGTACCCGGCGGCCGCGCCCGCCAGTGGCGACACCAGCCCCGTCAAGCCCGTCGCCACCAAGCCCGCCAGCCCAGGGCAGGTCGCGAGCACAGGGCAACCCGTGAGCCCAGGGCAGCCCGTCAGCACAGGACAACCCTCCCCCGGCCCGCAAGTCAGTCCGGGCATTCCGGCAGCGGCCAAGACGGTGTCCCCGCCGGCTTTCCGCCCCGCCACCCCGCCCAGCGTGGAGCAGCGCCCCAGCCCCCAGCCACAGCCCTCGGAGGACAACGAGGACGCCGCGGACGCCGCGGACGCCGCGGACGCGCCCCGCACGGGCCCCAAGCCCCCCAGCCAGGTGGTGGGCGCCAAGCCCCTGTACGGCAACATCGACCCCAGCTCGGTGCAGCTGCGGCCCGTGCACCGGGAGCTGCGCTTCGGGGACTCCCTGTCGAGGGAGGCGTCCGAGGACGTGGACGACGCCGAGGCGCTGCCCGCGCCGCCCAGCCCCGTGTCGCCGCCGCCGCCCGCCCTGGTGGCCCCCGCGGCCCCCGCCACCGTGCCCGTCAAGCACCTCATCGACAGCTTTGAGCTGGGCGCGCCGGGCACTGGCGTGCAGCAGTACGTGTGCAACACGGCCGTGCAGACGCGCCTCTTCACCGCCATGCTGCCGGCGAGGCCGCCCTCCGAGGCGCTGGAGCCCTTCCCGGAGCACTTCGCGGACCCCACGCCGGAGGAGATGTACGCGCGGCGCGCCAAGGAGGACCTGGAGGACCAGATCAGGCGCAACTACCCCTTCCCCGCGTCCCCCGCGCCCACCCCGCAGCCCGAGCCGCCGGCCACGCTCCGCATCACGCTCGACAAGTTCCAGACCGTGCCCAAGCCCTGGGACCCCGAGCGGTACCAGCAGCCTGAGCCCCCCGCCAGAACGCCCACCGACCTCAACACCCCCCTGAGTAAGGCCCGGGGCTCGGCGCCTCGGTGCACGCTGCACGCAGTGATGCCGCACGCCCCGCCCCGCCCCGCCCCGCCCCGCCCCGCCCCACCCCACGTTCGCGTTCGGCAGGTGAAACGGCGACGAGACTCGCGGCCCTCCCCGCGCCTTGCCTCGCCTTGCAGTGGACGCGCTGCCCCCGCTTGCCCGCCTGCCTCGCCTGCACTGGTTGCGTTGCATTGCGTTGCTGCATGACGATCCCTGCACTGTTTTCTCTCGGCGTGTTGTTGTTTGCTCACCCCGCAGAAGGCGAAGGCCAGTTTTGATCGGCGTCCGATCCTCGTTTTGCGCCGGCAGTGCCGCCGCCGCCCGCTTGTCTCCTTCGCATCATGCGAGGTGCGAGAGAGACAGAGTGACGACGCGCTCGCCCCGCGACGCCCCCATTCGGAGCTCTCGCCTGGCCGTCTGGCCGTCTGGCCGTCTGGCCGTCTGGCCGTCTGGTCGTCTTGAGCGTCGCGCCAGTACGCACGAGGAAAATCTAGGAAAATCCTGAAAATCCTCGAGGCTTTCGCCTAGCTTTCGCCTAGCTTTCGCCTAGCTTTCGCCGTTGCTTTCGTCTGGCCTGGCGGTAGGCTGCTGCGAATGGGGGTTCTACTGGGCTTCGGGGAGAAGGGGGAGGTCAAGTCACGTGACCCCCGATACCCCGCCACCCCCACCCTCTCTTTTTCCTGGCCGCGAGTCCGCAGTGCCTGCCCTTTCCCAGTGTACCCGCTACCCTCTTTTCAACACGAACACGCGACCCAGGACGCAGCCTCTTTCGCCGCCACTCGCGCCGAAAATAAACGGACAAAGAGAGCGACTCAAGCCGTGCGCCTGCGAGTGTGTGTGTGTGTGTGTGTGTGAGTGTGTGTGTGTGTGTGTGTCTGTCTGTCTGTACGTGTGTGCGGTGCTCCAGACACAGATGGAAAGACGGATGGGGGAAACCGAGGCGGAAACGGACAGCCTTTTCCTCGCAATGCTGGAGCGATTGCCCGTCTATTGGCAGAGCCCCCCAGGGGCCCTGGGGCGGGGCGCCTATCCGCGGCGAGTGTGCAGCGATTTCAAACGTCGCTTTCGTCACTCTGTCTCTCCGGCACTCACAGGGCGTCCCGTTCACGGTACACGGTGTGAGAGACAGAGCGCGCACGCACAGTGGGCCAGAAGACCGGTGGAGGCGGTCGAAATTCTAGACGCGTTTTGAGCTCCAGAGTTGCTAAACAGGACTCGAACCGAACGTGTGACCCCACCGATGGATTCCTCGTTCGGAGAGCTATCCATTGGTGGGGTCACACGTTCGGTTCGAGTCCCATTTAGCGACTCAGGAGCTCCGGGATTTGATTTCGACCGCCTCCACCGGTCTTCCGGCAAATCCACTGTGCGACGCTGTGTGGAATCGGGTGGGATCGGGCTGGTGCAGACTGTCTGACGCCTTTGTTGTGCTCCCCAGGCGACAGCGCGCTGCTCAGCTTCCGCGGCCCCCCGGAGGAGCCCGCCCCCCTGCTGCTGCGGGAGGCGCAGGGCCCCTCGGGCCTCCCCGTCGCGGCCTCGGCCTCGGCCTCGGCCCCGGAGCCGCCCGTCCGCACCGTCTTCATGGACTACAGCCTGCTGCAGAACTACAACACCGCGCCCCGCGGCTGGGGCGCCACCATGGACTACTACCGCCCCGTCACCTTCTGCAAACCCATCGCCGCCACTGACCTATAGGCCCGTCTTTTCTAATGCTGTTGTTTTCGTTTTTATTCGTTGTTGTTTTCCTATCTTTGTTTTCCATCTGGGAAGGCCGCTGCCGGCTGGCTGGGACTGCCGGGGGCGTGCCGCGTGCCGTGTGTCCGGGGCGCCCTGCCCTGCCTCACCGCGCGAGCCGCGAGCAAACGCACACACTTTTCCTTGACGCGGACGGTTCTGTATGTTTCCCTTTTGTGTTACCTTTGTGTTATCGACTACCAGCCCCACTATGTACGTTCAGGGGGCTTCCACCGGATTGTCTCTATGATCAAAGACGCCGTTTGCATCATGGCAAGCGGCGGGCGGGGCTCCGAAGCACCGCCCTGGTCTCTGGCAGGACTGCAGCCTTCCTCCGAGTAAACCACTGAGACCGCATAAGCCTCGCGCAGAACGCGCCAACGCGCTGTGACGGGAGTCCTCGCCGTGCTCAAAGCGCTCGGCAGGGAGCAGCACTGTCTGTCACCCCATCACATCAGCCGTAGTTATTTCACGCTTATTGCAAATCATTTGTTTACAGTTCTCCGCAATCGACCTCCGACCAACACTGTTTCATTGTTGTATTGCCCTGTATATGTGTAATGCTTCTAAGACTAGATCGAAGCGAGAACGGTCCATAGCTCTGTATGTTCACGTACAGTACAGTACCACTATGTGCTTTGTATGTTCTCTTCGGCTGTGTTGTGCAAACCCATCACAATGGAATCTCTGCTTCAAGAGCAATTAATAAAGATCTATTCTGTACTGGTTACAACCCTCGAGAGTCAATCCACACTCCGGTAATCCCGCACGAATGTCGTCTCACAAAAAGGAAGTCGCTGAGGCACCCAGCCCACAGTGTAGTGGTCCTATTCCGCTGCCGGCACGCATCGCTCTGTCTCCCTCGCACTCAGGGAGAGTGCCGTGGGGAGCGAGAGTGTGCGCATCTCACCACAGGTGGGCCACCCATCTGACACGGGAGGGAGAAGGGGGAAGGGGGACTGGCGTTAAAGCTCGCGTTGGCCAGTCGCGAGCCCTGCGGACCCAGGTCACCCAGTGGCGGAGTCGCGGCCCAGGGACGCTTAAAAATAGACAGCTGCGCCGCCAAGACGTGCCGGCAGCTCACGCGGCGGACAAGGCCCTCCTCGCCCGCAAGTGCGAGTGTACAAAGGGCAAAACCACACACAGAATGCACATCTCGCGCGACCCGCCCCCACAGATAACATTCTTCCAGAAGCATAGGGGGGAATCTCGGGCGCGCGGTGACGTCAACAAACTTGACGTCAGAAGGCAAGACCACCCGCCAGACACGCATCATGAACATCATTAATGCGTGGAGGTTATTGGCTCCGAAGCTCGCATTGTAGAGGCTAGGCAAACAGGCCACAGCAGACTCTTTCCGAGAGTCGTTTTCGTCGCTCTGTCTCCCTCACACTTATGAGGCCTCCCATAGGTGCGAGAGAGGCAGAGCGACGAAAACGACTCTCGGAATCACTCTGCTGCGGCCTTGCCCAGTGCCCTGTGGCGCGTCGCGCGCTGCAGTTCAAACTTCTTGAGGACAGGAAAGACAGGTGCTCAGGTGGGTTTCCGCAGGGTGGCCAACCCAGGTCGAGCCGAGTCGCCTCTCGCGTCCTTGAGTGCGTTGCGTTTCCGCGGTGATTCAGAGGCTTGGCCCGCGGGTCGCAGGGTCGGAGGGTTACCGCCACGGCGGTCCGTGCCGACGAGCCTCGCCGATGCAGTGCTTATCTCGTTTGCGTAACGACGCGCGGCACGCCGAGGTTGGCAGCACTTGCAGCCGGCCGGAAAGCGATACAGGCTTGTTTTTGTTTTGTTTTGCTGTTGTTGTTTTCCGTGTTGTTGACATTTTGAGGAGGCCCGAGCCGAGCTGTGCGCTGAGCAGCGACCAGTGCAGTGAGTTGCGCCCTGCGTGCGGATAAGTGCGCTGATTTGGTCGGTGCTCGCGTTGTCTGGGTTGCCTGCATTCCGTCGGCCACCCTCGCTGGTGTCGCTGGCCGGCCCAAGCCACCCCTCGCCGAATCCATGCAGAGTTCGTGTGCCTTGAGGTACGTCCCATACAGGTTATATTTATACTTGGAATGGATCTCAACGGCGAAGGAGCTGGACCCGTTCGCTGACTCATTCATATTGTTTTCCACAGAAATGGGTGTTCCAAGGCGCACTATGGTGAAGGTCCCTCACTCCCATCCGGAAGTAGTTGTTATGTTGCCAAACCCCCCATATGACCAGAGGATATCTTCAGCCAGAGTGTGGTCAGGGATATGGAGCATCACCAAGCATGTGTTGCTCTTCTGTCTGGGAATGATTGTTGGGGCTCTCTTTCTCACAAGCAACGACGTACAGAAGAGATGCCTGGAGAGCATGGTTGCGGTTGGCTTCAGTTCCCATCGTGCCAGAGAGATATGCTACAAGAACCCAACTGTCTCTCATAGTGGAGTGCTCACTAGATTTGACTGCATGCCTCGCAATGCCAATGCCCAAGACTGTCGCCGCAGAGGTTGCAATTGGGATGAGTCTGTTCAAAATGTTCCTTACTGCTTCTATCCTGACAACTACGGTTCTTACTCCAACGAAAATGTGACAAATATCAATGGAAGAACTACTGCAACCATGAGAAAGAAGTTGAAGTCACCATACCCTGAGGATGTGGATCTTCTTCAATTTGAAGCTTGTGCTGAAACAGAAAGCAGACTGCACATAAAGGTACCAACACTTCTTACCCACCTACATTCTTATTTTTAAATCTTATTCAACACTGTAGTAACTTCCGATGTATCATTTTACAGATAACAGATGCAAAGAAGGACCGGTTTGAACCCTTTTACCCAGTAGTGCCACAGGTTGATTGCAAGTCATCTAAGAACAACCAATATCAGGTAAAAATATCTGAAGGGAAAATGGGCTTCAAAGTATTACGCTCATCATCAGGCAAAGTCATGTTAGTATTATTTCTTTTCAAATGTTTTAAAAAATGTTTTAGTTAGAGTGCTGTAATAATACAACTATGTGTGCAGATTTGATTCTGAAGACATAGGTGCCCTCATTTATGCCAACCAGTTCTTGCAACTGAATGCCCGATTCCCAGCTGGATCCTTACTTTATGGAATTGGTGAAAGGCAGAGCACAATGAACATTGAAACTTCCGCATTCCAGTCATTTACTCTCTGGAATCGGGATGCTGCTCCAACTGATAAGGTAAATTTTTCTGGTTTTGTGAAAAACATGTTTTTGTTTGCCAAGATAATCATCCTGACCTTGCATTTACAGATTAATCTCTATGGCAGCCATCCCTTCATTTTAATACGAGATCAATATGACCAGAATAACTCCAAGTGGCACGGTTTATTTTTACTAAACAGCAATGCTATGGGTGTGATTTGATTTTATCTTTACCCACCTGAAATCTTCATTTTTGTACTGGTGCTGTTATGTTTACTGACACTTTCATCAATTTATTTTTGCCAGACATCATCACACAGCCAGGGCCAGCAATTTCTTTCAGAATCATTGGTGGTATTATGGATTTCTATTGGTTTATGGGAGACACCCCAAGTAAAGTTACTGAGCAATACCTTGAAGTGATTGGTCATCCACACATGCCTCCCTACTGGGCACTTGGTTTCCATCTTTGTCGGTGAGTTTTCTCTCTATTGGCTCCATTCTAATGCTGCGAGTCCTAAAATCTGAATTAATTCACTTTTACATATTATTTTATACAGATTTGGCTATGGATCACTTGACAATACCATCCTTGTGTGGAATCGAACAAGAGCTGCAGGTATTCCATTTGTAAGTTGCAGTTTAATGCATTTTGTATTGATGTAAATATTTTGACTAAAAAATTTTCTTTTATTATATAATTATTCATGGTTCACAGGATGTTCAGTGGAATGATTTAGACTACATGGACAACAACAATGACTTCACTATCAGCCCCAAGTTCAGCAAACTCTCAGAATTTGTTGAAATGTTACATTCGGTATGCTAATTAGCCAGAAGGATCTTTTGGATGCAATGATACAAAATTAAATTGTGGCATTGTAATTTATTTTTTCTACAGATTGGCATGCATTATATCCCACTTATTGACCCTGGGGTCAGTGCTGGAGAAAAAAAAGGAGCATATGAGCCCTATGATTATGGGCTGGAACTTGGAATATTTGTAGCTGATGAAAAGAACAAGCCATTTGTTGGCAAGGTAATAATGTTCATCAGTTGTTTCAGTTTCTTAACTGTGTTACCAAATTTTTAAAAAATTCGTGTTTTTTTCTTTTGTAGGTGTGGAATGGAATTTCAACCGTATGGCCTGATTTTACAAACCCCAAAACTGTTGATTATTGGAGAGTAATGCTGGAGAAACTACACAGCCAAGTACCGTTTGATGGTGCCTGGATTGATATGAATGAGCCCTCTAACTTCTACAGTGGTACCCGCAAAGGTTGTCCCAAGAATTCTCTTAACTATCCCCCTTATGTGCCAAATGTTCTTGGTGGACAACTATTCAGCAAGACCATATGCCCGTCTGCTAAGCATTACAGGGGCAACCACTATGATCTTCACAATATGTATGGAATCTCTGAGGCCATCATCACTAGCTTTGCACTTGTGGAAATTCGCAACGAAAAGAGGCCTGTCACGATTTCTCGTGCAACATTCCCTGGACATGGTCACTATGCTGCCCACTGGACTGGCGATGTCTTTTCAACATGGAATGATTTGAAACTGAGTGTGGCTCGTAAGTTTTGTCAACATTATTGTATGTGTTTTCACAAACCCACTACAAGAAAATAACAAAGAATTTTAAGGCTGGTATTGGTATCTTTGTTCACAGAAACCTTGAACTTCAACATGTTTGGGATTCCTTTCGTTGGAGCGGATATTTGTGGATTCAATGGCAATACAACTGTGGAGTTATGTGCCAGGTGGAGCCAGCTTGGCGCCTTTTACCCCTTTTCTCGTAATCATAATTCAGATGACACCAAAGAACAAGATCCTGTCATTCTTGGCCCAACTGTGGTGACTGCAGCCAAAAATGCCTTGGAAATTCGTTATTCTCTTCTGCCATACTTGTACTATCTGTTCTATGATTCCCATGTAAATGGAAAAACTGTTGCCCGCCCTCTGTTTTATGAATTTCCTGAGGATGAAAATACTCATCTCCTTGAGACAGAATTTATGTGGGGTTCCTGTTTGTTGATTATCCCTGTTTTGGAGGAAGGGAAGACCACTGTAGAAGGCTATTTCCCCATTGGAACGTGGTATGACTTGAACTCAAATAAAACACTGATAGCCAAGAGCGCACTTAAAAAGACTATGAATGCTCCCCTTGATCTGATTCCTCTATTTGTAAGAGGTGGGTGTATTCTGCCAACTCAAGCAGCCAAAGCTACAACCACAGAAAGGTACTTATTGTCTCTTGATAAAGAAATTTTTGTGTCTGGGATACACAGCATCTGTCACTAATGACTTGTTTGAAAATTCCAGCCGGAAGACTCCTTTAACTGTCCGAGTCTACTTGGATGCTAATGGACGTGGCCAGGGGAGTGCTTATTTTGATGATGGAGATTATGTTTGTAAGTTTTGGTTGTTAGTGCCTAATGCACAAATCGAAAATTCATACTCAATGTGTTTTCTTAACCATATATTCCATTGTGTTCCAGATTCCATTGACGAAGGAAAGTATTCTTTGGTAAACTTTGCAGTGAAGAACAAGGTGCTAGTTGGAACTGTTGCAAAGTCTGGCTTTGCTCAAATTCCCACTTTAGAAACAGTATTAATTCATGGAGAATGTGCGTCTGTGACCAAACTTGAAGTCAATGGCAAAACATGGAATAATTTCACTCACAATAAATCATCATGTGTAAGTGCCAACTCAGTATTTACACATTCCAAATGTGCTTAAGTAATATCATATGAAGCAACTTAATAAAAATTCATAAAAACTTAATCATATTTGCAGATTTTAACAACAATCATCAGTGCCAATGTTTTAGAAGGCATCAAAATTACTTGGCAAACCAGCTGAAAAGAAAAAGAAAGGGACTACTAGAGGAGTGAAAAAGTGGAAAGTTTTACTAGACTGATACATTTGTTTTGAAGTTTGTCTTATCAGAACCAAAGCTTTTTGTTTGTTTTTTTGTACGTTGCCATGCAGAGTGCAAAATATTCTTTATGGTTACTTTTATCTTAAAATTTTAATATTCTCCATGGGGAGTGACTAGTCAAATTCACAGCAGTGTCTTGCCAATCCCCCCTGAAATTAATCTATTTAGATTGGTTGAATGATTCTTTTAAAACTTAATAGGTTTACCCTTTCTGCAGTTGTACTTATGGTTACAGGCACTCTTAATCTGTGTTTAGTTTAAGATGTTGATTATCATTACCAGAGCTGTGTCTTCATGACTGATTCTCTTTAGTTAACTCATTTATATCTTATAAATTGTTTAGAATTATTTCATCTCTTGTAAATATTTAAAGAATACCTTAAATAATCATTAAATGTTTTACCAAATTTATGCAAGTTTAGAAAATAGTTTTAATTACCATAACAATCTTATTTACAACATTCACTACCACACACACTCAATATTAGACTGAATTTAAAACATTAGATATGATAGGTTTAGGTCGAACTTTGAAAATCAGTTTCTTTTTAATTATGGCTCGAATTTGGTATTCAGTCCTGAATTCCGATTTTTCTGGATTGTCTTCTTCACAGCACTGTGGTAGTATTCCTCTTTTCCGCTCGAGAACAGCAAATGGCTTCTCTAATGAGACTTCTTTACCCGTTAAAATATGATGACCTATGATGAAGATAGGTGTCCCCTGTGAACCAGAGCAGAATGTTATGATAAAAGTATATAAGACTTAACGACAACCAGTAACATTACCTGTTTGGTGTAGTGAAGATCTCCGATGAACTGTCCATGCAAATCATTGCCACTTTGTGACACAATGTCACCTTGCAATTCGACAATGCCCCATTGAGTCTCCTTCCCTTCTTCTGGTCTAAAATGTCAAAGAAAAAGCATCCTTGAACTGCTGATTGATACATTCAGCATGGCACAGTCTAGGTTATGCCTAGCGTTCAAACGGACTTATTCTTACAATTTGACGAGTATCATTGCTCGAGCTGCCGGAAAGATGTGATCAATCAGTTCAGATGGCTTCACAAAGGCGAACTAGGCGGACTTTTGACTTTCGATAAACTACGGATACGACAAACAGAAACAATGTTGTTGTCGCACAAGTTCAACGACAGACTGTAGCGCGGGAAAGCACGCGCGCAGACGAAACACAGGTCACCTACAAATGTTGAGACTTTACTTTTTCTTGCAGAGGGGAAACAAAAACAGGTTCGAGTGGAGTAAAAAAAAATAAATTAAAAATTCCTCGAATCATGTCGTGAAAGGGAAAGTGAGGTTTTCGTTTATCAGCAAGAGAAAGATGCTCGGCATATTCTTTGTTGTGTTGGCTCAGATGAACGCCACCAGCCATACCCATACCCAACCTTCCAACTCGTGGTGGGGGTAAGCATAGCGCGCCCGCCGTGAGGAGCACCACGAGTATGGCAAACGTATCAGTGCGTTTACGAAAGGTTGGGTATGGACTGGTGTGGGACGGGCGAACAGGGCCAGATGAGCGGCCATGGCTTTAAAGTACACTCGCTATGTTCACGGAATGAAACAAATAAAAATTGCAGATAATAGCTGCTCCAACATATGGTTTTTGCTTGACTGGTTTTGAGCTTCTTTCTGAAAACGCAGAGTAGTGAGAGGCAAAACCAGCAGACGACAGTTGCTGCATTTTGCTACTTTGGCTGTCTATTAATTTGATGTATAAACTTCCAACCACCTCAATAGTAATGAACCCAGGTCAAACTGCACGTTTGTCTGTTTTGAACAGTACAACTTTCAAAGAAGTTGGGCCCTAGCGTGCCCTAGTCCCTAGTTGGACCCGAGGCCTCGAGTGGTCCGTAAGAAAATCGGCGGGAAGGATGACGTATTCGAATGCGTAGACAACGCGGTTTTGCAAAACACGTTTTTAAAACGAAATATTGAATGACGCGTCGCATAAAGTACTGCCACTACTTCCTCCAGTTTAAATATGCAGCTAGAAACCATTCTGACGTCCCGGGGGTTCTCCGAAACAGAGAAACAACTAGGAGCGGTACTCGCCGATGGGGCCGGGGTAACTTGGAAGGGGAGTCCCGCCCAGCCCAAAGGTCGAACTCTGAAGTGACGAATTTGCTGTTCCTCTTGAACGGTTGGCGACATCGACTTGAAATTTTCCAAAGTGAAAGATCTTTAAAAATTAAGAATTTTGAAATTAGGCGCATTGCTCTAGGGTTCATAGAACCGGAAATATGGACATCGAAAATTTTGAGCTGATTCAACATTTGAACGGCCATATCTCGGTCAAATTGGGGCCGATTGGAGTGGGTGAAACGGCAATCGCTTTCTAAAAATGCCCTCTTTTCGAAGGTGCCAGTAAAAATAACATCTGCTATGAATCTCGAATTTTGAATCTCGCCGTCGTGGGTGTTTGAACCACGGTCCGGACGAGGGCAGTTTTGCATTCCGCTTACCCTGCTGATACATTATTCTCCTATGGAGTTTTTCCCTCCGATGGACAGGGGCGGAGCTAGGGGGCCGCAAAGGGTCGAACCCCCCTAACTTACGGACGCTCCCCGAGGCGCAGGAGCACTTATACGGCAAAACACTAGTGAATCAAACTTGTTAAAAATCTGATTTCCCACAGAAATGTTTAAGAAAAATGTCTTACAAGATGCGCCTTTTGGGAAATATAGCTTTCCAAAAAAAGTGCATTTTCGATCATGGTGAGCCCACATTTAAACGGCCACATCTCAGCCAAATTTGGGCCAATTGGAGTGGGTGAAACAGCAATCGCTTTCTAAGAATGTCCTCTTTTCACAGGTGCTAGTAAAAGTGACATCTGTTACAAATCTCGAATTTTGAACCTCGCCGTCGTGAGTATTCGAACCATGGTCTGGACGAGGGCAGTTTCGCATCCCTCTTACCCTACTGAGAAAGTATGCTCCTATGGAGTTTTTCCCCCTGACGGACAGGAGCGGAGCTAGGGGGCCGTAAAGGGTCAAATCCCCCTAATTTACGGACGCTCCCCGGGGCATAGGGGCATATTTTCGGCGAAAGACTAGTGAATCAAACTTGTTTGCAATCTGATTTCCGACAGAAAAGCCTAAGAAAAATGTCTCACCAGATGCAACGTGTACAAAATATGGCTTTCCCAAAAATGTGCTTTATAAGATTTCTTTTCTTTTCAAAAAACCTAACAACTTTCCTAATTTATTAAAAATTTGAGATAGAGGAGGAAAACACTGCAGATCAAGTCATGTTTGTAAATCAGATCCCTTCAAGGAAAGTCCTGCTTTCTATTTCCTCAGACAAACCAATTGAGAAGAACATGTTTTATCAGTTATAGTTTTAAAAAAAAAAAAAAAAAATTGGCACTAAACATTTTTAATTAACAGGGCTGGTTCTCAAAATGTGAACTCGTGCTCATTGTATTCGGCAGGTTATTAGTAGATAAAATAATATCTGACTTTCTTTACCACATTGTTCCAGGTTTTAATCATTTGAATGAGGTGAGAGTGAGGTGAATGAGGAGTCGGAGAATCAGAGCTGGAGGGGCTGTCCTATTGTTTTGCTCATGCGATTAGATTTAGTTGAAACAGTATAGTATTTAATTGCCAATATGTGTGTTTCAAATGTGTTAGCAGTTTGTAAAGCTATAGTCGACATGAAGTTATCTGAATTTTCTTATATAAACACTTCTCTACATCAATCGATTCTATTTCTGGATTTCTCCAACTCGAAGATCTTATTTCTGTGGTGCACCAGCCTTCCTATATCAATTCTTTGAAAAATGCAATCAAGATTGTTGGGAAATGTCTGTGAGAATTTGTTTAAATGTATTACGTTGCTCGTATAACTCAACATTTTGTCTGAAATAGAACCAACTTCAGGAGATTGAACAAAATCATTTAAGAATAATGTTTCTTCAGTCAGAGAAGTGCGAGTGGGTCTAAAATTCAGATAGGATCATTAAAGAAGAAATGTAGGTCTTAGTCTTGAACATCTTTCGACTTAGCCTCCCAAGGAAAGAGGTGATGAGCTTTCACAGTGCTGCAGCGAAAATATTCCACTTCCATTGCAAAGTGAAAGTCAAATGCATTTTATCCTTCATTTAATTTCCCCAGCGTTGAAAGTAGCTCAGAAAAGACTATTTGCTCTATCGCACATAACCAACAATCATTCCCGTTTACTCTTTTCTGTACCATTCCCGCCCGATACCCAACCTTCAAACGTATCCTTGAATTTGCCATCTTGTGTGTGTTCATCGCATCGTTGCGGTAGATGAGCTATACGCATCCCCTCCACCATCCAAAATAGGTGGAGGGGGAGGTTGGGTTTGGGTATGGATGGTGGCGTTCGGCTCAGATCACCAGACTGACAGCACATGTTGCCAACATGCCGTAGAAAAAAGAAGCTGACCATTCAAATTTTATAGGTCCGTTAAAAGTTTTTAAATAAGGAAGTATATCTTTGATATTTTCATTAAAAAATGTGGGCGTTGTCAATCAAACTCAACCGTCTTAGATCCAGTCGTGTTTTCAAATTTTTCGTTTTGCTCTGTTGGCTTTATGAATATCGATTTAGCTGCCACCTAGTGGCCGAAGCTGTAACTATCCCGCACTTCGGCTGTTCGGTTTCGGGTTGTTGACTGGATGGATGGGGAGTCTGGGTGGGTTGCCTGTCAGTTCGTGTTGTGAAGTGGATTTTTCTGCCCCGTGCGGACTTTTTTGATGTATTAAGTACATTTTTCTAAGCCACGGGCGGCCTGCATTTCAAACCAGAGCGACCAAAGTTCAGTGATTTGTGCATTGTGTTGAAGAACATAAAGTGTGTGCGTGTGTGTGTGTGTGTGCGGCCCCGGTGCAATAGTACCCGAGCTGGACGACCCAGCCTAGGCTTTCGCTTACATCGTTCGGGTTATCGACTCATGTGGATTTCTTCAGTCCGTGCTAAAGGTACGCATTGTTCTACTCATCCTCCATGCGGTGTGCGCCGCCCCCTGAAAATTGTTTTCCGTTGGCGCTCTCCCGGTGGAAGAGAGCGAGATGCGACGCTGTCCCGGTTTGCCTTAATTGGTGATTGTTGTGTGGAGTATAGTGGTTCTGTTTCCCATAACTCACCGTTCGCGGCGCACTTCTATTATTGAAATTTTCTCATCAAGCGCTTTGCGCTCTCCCCAGAATTGAATGAAACAATGGCCTCCTCACTTCACTTTTCTCTCCTTAAGGTTTTAAAGACATTCTTATTTGCTGCAGAATACCATGTACCATTAAATTTGGAAGCACCTAATATTGTAAAGTTACTGTGTTTTTCCTGCTCTCATGAGTGTTTTGTGTTTCATCATGATTTGTATTAGCACAAACTGTCACTTTTTTGAAAGTTGAATAATATTTTCACCAACTAGTTCTATGGAGGGTTCAAGATATCCATTCTGTACTTTGATACATTATTTTTTCTACTGTAGTTGTTGATATTTTTAGTAAAAGAATCTCTCCTTATGGTTTATGGATTAAGTTTTAATAGTTTCAATTAAAACTATGACGTTGATTGTTTGTTCCATTTTTATAAAATATCTTGACTTGCAAACAAACTCTTTTACACGGAACTTCATGTGGTGCTGGAAGATAGTTTAGACCTTGTCTCTCATTTTGCTCACATTACAATGCCAGTGTTGCCACATTTGCCAAACAATTGCAGTTAGTGCACTGGTGGTGAATGTGGGGCTCATGAAGTCATGTTCTTTAGGGCCTTGGGGATCCAGCGGCGAGTGTGAACTGCATTGCCCCCCCCCCCCCCCCCCCGGCGGTCCCAAGACCCTTGACCCCCCTAGAGACACCCTCCTTCCCGCCCCTTTCCCCCACCCCTCCGCGCCTCCGCGCGCGACACCCTGCCCACCCTTCTGGGCGATCCAGAAGAATCGTCTCGTCGCTCCGTCTCTGTCGCACTCACAGGGCGCTGCCTAAGGGTGCGAGCGAGAGAGCGCCAAAACCACTGTTTCTGAATGGCTTTGGCTGCCAGGCAGCTGGGCTGGGGGCAGGGGGCCCCGGGGCGGCCCGGCGGTCCATCCACAGCCTCCGGCAGCCGGCCTTCTTTGTTGCAAATGTGAATGTGGTGTGCGGTGCAAGGCGCGGGGCGGCGGGTCGCGGAGCGGACTGCAGAGCGATCCGCAGAGCGCTTTCGCCTGTCTCTCTCGCACTCGTTGGGCGGGCCATTGACCGGGCCGGCGCACCTGGAGGGCCTGGAGGGCCTGGAGGGAGGCCGCCACCGTCAAAGCCAAAAGGCCCCTAGGTCTATCAGCACCGCGTGGCGAGGGCGGCGAGGGCGGGCGGGGTCGCGGCCCACGCCAAGAAAGGGGGCGGCCGCGGGGCGCGGCGGGCCGCGCGGGGCCCAACTGAAGCTGCCGTGGGCATTGCAAGCGGAGACGCTCTGCAGGCTGATTCCGAGAGTCGTCGCTCTGTCTCTCTCGCACTCATGGGGCATCCCGCACAGGTGCGAGAGAGACAACGACTCTCGGAATCAGTCTGCTGGCTTGCCTGGCTGGCCCGGCTCGCCCAGGTGAGGGGGCGGGGGCGGGGCGCGCCGACAGCGAATATGTTGGCGACGCCGCGCCAGGCAGGGCCGCCAGCGCTTTCTGTCTCTCTCGCACTCGCGCGGCGCTCCGCAAGGCGGGCCGACCAGAGAGAGACAGAGCGGTGGAGCTCTGGTCGGAATGAGCCCGCTGGCGGCCAGGCCGGGCCAGGCCGGGCCGGACGGGACGCCTCGCCCTCGACATCCGATACGACGCGCCGCCCCGCCGAGCCCGTAGACCCGATACCTGATAAGCACTGTCGTGCCGCCGCGTGCGCGGTGCGTGCGCGGTGCAAGGTGAAGGCCCTCCTGCTGCACTTGCTCCTGGACCGGACCGCCGCGGCCGGCGTGGCGGCCTGGCCTCGGGCCTGGCGGCGTGGACGCGGAGCGGGGCAGGAGAGGTCAAAATCCCGCTGGCCCGGCGGAGGGGGGCCTTGACCGACCAGCGGCCAGCGTTGAGGTGCTCGTGAGCACAGTGGACCAGGAGACCGGCGCCGGCGGCCAAAACTCAAGACGCGTTTTGAGCTCCAGAGTCGCTAAACAGGACTCGAACCGAACGTGTGACCCCACCAATGGATTCCTCGTTCGGAGAGCAATCCATTGGTGCGGTCACGCGTTCGGTTCGAGTCCCATTCAGCGACTCTGGAGCTCGATACGCGTGTAGGGCCACATGAACTCCTCGAACCTGATGTCGCCACTGTCCTAGCCCAACGTGGCTGAGAGAGACTTCAGCTGCCCCATACGTAGTAGCCGGTCCCAGACGGGTCTCACGGTTCTAGGACTCTCGGGTGGTTATCGCTCGTCGAGTGTGGGGCCCACACTGTGGGGCCCACACTGTGGGGCCAGCCCATCAGGGCCGCTCCTTACTCGGCGCTCACTGTCTCGGAAGGGGCAGGAGGTGCGCGATGCCGATGCCGTGTCACCTGGCCAGGCCGAAGTCCTTCACGTGGAAAAGAAAACAAACGGAGCAAATGAGCGCGCGCGGCGTTCTCATTTTCCGGAACGCCTGCTCGAGTTTTGTCGGCCGCGGCATCGCGCGACGCAATCGACCACCGTGCGGCACGTGGCCGACAAGTGGCTCCGTGACACTCCGTGACACTCCGTGACACTCCGTGACCCAATCAGAGCCTGTTGGCCTGTCGGCGCGTCCGTGCGACCCGTCCCGTTTCGTCCCATCTCCCATCGGCTGCCGTGCTGCTGCCGTGCTGCTGCCGTGCTGGACCGCGTTGGGCGCCGTGCAGACTTTCTCCGCGACACTTCGGCGTGGTGCTGCTGCAGAGCCACTCCGAACTGCCTCGGTCGCTCTGTCTCCCTCGCACCCGTGGGGCGTCCCGCGTAGGTGCGACAGAGACGGAGCGATGAAGCGCTGTGCGGCACGTTGGCGCGTTGGCGCTCGAGTGCGACTTGGAAACGCCTTGATGGTTGGTTATGGCCGACGCGAGAATCGTCTTGGTGCCGTGCTGCGCGTGCTGACGGTGCTGACCCAAGCGTCGCGAGCGTCGCGAGCGTGAGTGGCTCCGACAGCCACGCCACGCCCCGGGAGGCCTCCGCGGGGGCGAGTCTCTCCCGGACGCCGGGGACCGGAACTTGGCCAGGGGGTGGATCGAGGGTGGAAGCGGCGCTGGCCAGAGGCAGGCGCGGCTCCAGGGGGGGGTTCGGGGGTCGCGACCCCCCCCTCGGGCTGAGCCGAAGGGCGATTTCGACGCCCGCAGGGCGTCGAAATCGCGCTTCGGCTTGGCTTAGTGAGGGTTTTGACATCAGGAGTGACCAGTGACCCCCCCGTCAGGTTTAGTCTGGAGCCGCGCCTGGCCAGAGGACCGGTGGGGGCGGCCAAGGTCCCGGACGCGTTTTGAGCTACTGAGTCTCTAAATAAGACTCGAACCGAACGTGTGACCCCCCCTGACAAACTGAGGGCCAGGTCAACTCGGGGGTAACTCGGGGGTAACTCAGGGGTAACTCGGGGGTAACTCGGGGGTAACTCAAGGGGAAGTCGGGGGGAAGTCGGGGGGAACTCGGGGGAAGTCGGGGGGAACTCGGGGGGAAGTCGGGGGGAACTCAGGGGCAAGTCGGGGGGAACTCGGGGGGAACTCGGGGGGAACTCGGGGGGAACTCGGGGGCAAGTCGGGGGGAACTCAGGGGTAACTCGGGGGCAAGTCGGGGGGAACTTGATCGACTCGCCCAAACACTAGAAATACGCTCCAAACTAGCACCGTTGCCTTTGTCTCGTTGCCCCGATTCTAAAAGTGCCCCTACTTAACCCTCTAGCTCAGCGGTTCCCAACCTTGGGGTCGCGACCCCAAATGGGGTCGCGAAAAAATTTTGCGGGGTCGCGGCGAGGTGGCTGGGGTCACCTGGGGTCGCGGTGGTTTCCCGGCTGGCCCACACGCCGAGCACTGGCTGCTTAAATGCCGCAAAGTTGATCAAAACGGTCACAAATGTGTGTAAAAGATCGTGTTTTGGGTCGACTTTAAGCATCCACTGCTTCTGATCCGAGGCGGTAAATCGCCCTCCCTCGACGGGCAATTGGTCTTTGGACCTTCCTTTAGCATGCCTTTGTTACGGAGTGCGATTATCTGCCTTAGTTTGGGAGCAGTTTTGCCGCAAAGTTGATCAAAACGGTCACAAATGTCTGAAAAATCGTGTTTTGGGGCGACTTTAAGCATCCACTGCGTCTGATCCGAGGCGGTAAATCGTCCTCCGTCAACGGGCAATTGGTCTTTAGACCTTCCTTTAGCATGCCTTTGTTACGGAGTGCGATTATTTGCCTTAGTTTGGGAGCAGTTTTGCCACAAAGTTGATCAAAACACGATTTTTCAGACATTTGTGACCGTTTTGATCAACTTTGCGGCAAAACTGCTCCCAAACTAAGGCAGATAATCGCACTCCGTAACAAAGGCATGCTAAAGAAAGGTCTAAAGACCAATTGCCCGTTGACGGAGGACGATTTACCGCCTCGGATCAGACGCAGTGGATGCTTAAAGTCGGCCCAAAACACGATTTTTCACAGACATTTGTGACTGTTTAGACCAACTTTGCGGCAGTACTGCTTCCAAACTGAGGCAGATAATTGCACTCCGTAACAAAGGCATGCAAAAGGAAGGTCCAAAGACCAATTGCCCGTTGAGGGAGGGCGATTTACCGCCTCGGATCAGAAGCAGTGGATGCTTAAAGTCGACCCAAAACACGATCTTTTACACACATTTGTGACCGTTTTGATCAACTTTGCGGCATTTAAGCAGCCAGTGCTCGGCGTGTGGGCCAGCCGGGAAACCACCGCGACCCCAGGCGACCCCAGCCACCTCGCCGCGACCCCTCAAAATTTTTTCGCGACCCCATTTGGGGTCGCGACCCCAAGGTTGGGAACCGCTGAGCTAGAGGGGCAAGTAGG